ATGGTAGCAAAATTTTTGGATGACAACAATAGAGAGCTTAAGCACCGACGATGACGACGACAATGAGAATGACAAAATAGCAATAGGTTTAGATTAGCAAAACAACAACTTTGCACGTGCATCACGCCTTTTTGTACATTTCTTAGCCAACATAAAACTTCCTAATTTCAAGTGCCCGCTTTATGCAGCAGGTGAACACAACAAAAAAATTTTCTCTTCCTTTTTATTAACTTAGTTACCGTCCTTTCAGATTCAACCCCAGAAATTTCGCCAACATTTGACAGATTTAATGAAATTGAATAAAATCGATGAAGTTTTAAACAGTGTGAATTCACTTTTTAAATGACGTTTTTGGTTGTTCTCATCCCGAAATTTTGCTACCATGGCGACGTGACGTAACGACTTCTCCTTTCTGTTGCGAGATTTACACTCATTGCCTGGTTTCTAACAGAGGAGGTTTTTTCTTTTTTCTAGTTAGTTTATCTTTTTTTTCTTTTTTTCAGTTTGTATCTCACCCAGTTGTTTATAACCTGCTAAAAAAAAAGTGGTACCGTTCGTTTAACGCCGTGCGAAAGCAGCCGCGGACGTCTCTCAGACGCTGGGGATATATGCTACTTAGCCTCTGGGCTGTTATTGATATTGTAGTATTTCCATTTCTCTTCGCCTTTTTCTACATTGTTCACTTCATAAACTTGCGTTTAAGGAAGTTGACAGGTTTGTAAGGGTTGACGGTTTTTTCATTTATCGAGATCATGAGATCAGATTACAAAAAATCTATTACCTAGAAGGTTTATAATGATTTAATTTAACTTTCCACTTAGTAGATTACTATGAGTTACATGCACTAGTGTTTGTAACCAGTCACTGATGGTGTAATTTCTTTGTAGATACAGATATATGTTTTGTCGTGACGCTGACCAGCGATGCTGCAGACGAAGCGTTCGGTCTTATCAAGAGGACGATCGGTTTTCTTATCCAAAAATACGGCCTCTATTCTGCAAAGTACTGTGTGATTTTACGTGACTTTAACAATGCATCTACCAGCAAAATTAGCTTCGAAGAGGGTTACTCGAGTGAAACTGAACTGCTTGACAGGGTCGAGGCAATGCAGAAATTGATTTCTCCTTCCTGGTTGTACAAGGATTTAAGTGCTGCTCTAGCTGCTTTTAAGAGTTCCAGCATTCGTAAAGACTCAAAGAAGGTAGGATTCTAAAATTTATTCCTAAGCCACGCAACAACACCTGATATAGATCGTGGATTCCCGGTCGCGCGAATTTAATTTCCACAGGGTCGGAGCCCTAACTAGCCTGCGTAGCAGGCGCTGTTATTTTCTTTAGTACCAAGCACGGGCCCTTTTTTGTGGGACGACGGTGGGAGAAATTTCCAGGAAGAGCACAAGCGAAGGGAGGAAAGGAGAGGCGGCCTTCTTTCCCCTTTGCGTGTTTCCCTCGCGCGCCTCAGAACAAATAACTGCAGGGTAAGCAGGTAACAGACAAGAATATGAGGTTCAGAAAGGGAAGTCAACTTTTTTCTCAAAAGCCAAGGTAATACTAACACCCTCAAAAATTATTATTCACCTTTAAAATGAAAGCTTTCAGAGGCCGGGGGCACTTATCAAATCCTTATGCAGGTAGTTTCCGCCACAAGGGCTAACCCCTTTCCCTTCCGGAAAAAGTAACATTTCGAACACTTCCATTGACAAATGGAACCCCTTTTACGTAGCGACAAAAGAACACTTCATCCCTTGGTCTGTCGCTTTAAAATGAATAAGAACGTTTTCTTGTTATTTTCCATGCCGTAAAACGTACATGTATGTTCGAAATACTTTACTAATAGCCTTTATTAATAATACCGAAATGACAGATTTCTCCACCCGTTCCCATACTTGACATTCAGCCTATGAAATCACTCTCCTATCATATACTTGAAGCCTCATTAACCCTTTCGGGCGTAGCCACCCTGTTTTTGCTACTATAGGGAGTATCTTTCCCGGGCTTCAGATACGAGAGGTGTTTCAGATTAAGAATAACTCATGGAAGATCTCTTTTGCTTTTTTATTAGCTCCTTATTGTATTTACAAATGGCAAGGTGAGAATGGCTCGAGATGATGGAACCGAGGATCTACATCCAATAGTTGACGAACTTAAGGAAATTGGAGCACGGATTATTTCCGTGGGTATTGGAGCGGACACCACACTTTCAGAAATGAAAAAAATTGCAAGCAAGAACAAGACTGCCCTTCACTTCGGGGAATACGAAGCACCAAAGACATTAGGAAAAGCTATCATACAAGGTAACTGAAATCGTTGTTGCTGCTAAATGCTTAAAAATGTTGCTTTAAGATATTGTAATTCAACACTCTTAACTTTCTCCTTCTGCCACGATGTTTCTGCTTCTGTTCAAATATTTCCTAATTTTCTAATCTGTTTTACAGGCGAAGAGGGAAAAGACATATTTGGTGAGTACTTTAGTTATCTGCGTAGCAGTCGTGTTTAAATAGTCGTTTTAATGTTTCCCAAATCATTTAAATCATTTCCAAATAACAGAGGAAATTATGTTTAGTTTGTAAGTAAAAGAAAAATGAAAAAGCAGGTTTTTTTTGTAAATAAACAGTTCGCTCAGAAAGAGCTTTGAAAGGTATTTTTGGGGATTTTTTTAGTGTACTTTTATGATTTCGTTGCAAATCCAGGAAGAAAATAGTTTTCTTTCAACCAGTAAGCATATTTAGTTCTTTTCTTTGGCATTTGAAGGTATAGCTGCTTCATTTATCTTTAAACTCCATATTTACTACCGTTCCAAAAAACAGTAAATAGCATGGAATATTCCGAGTTAAAGAAGCAAATCAAAACGCACAACAAATAGCTATCCACTTATTTGGTAAATAACAATACGTCATTAGATTTTACTCTACTTGTATTTCTTTACATTGCTTGTTTGCGTATTTTTTTAACTTTCTTTAACAGATCGTTACCTTTACTACTTCACAACTCCATACTTCGTCTTCCTTCGTGATTCGCTGAGTTACTTAGCTCTGCTTGGCCTGCACTTTGACATCTGCCTCTCACCTTCAACCCTTGCCTTCACACAGCTTGAATGGGTCATTTTTCTTTTTTTCATCGGGCGTATCGTGATAGAAATTGACCTATTTATGAGCGTCAAGAAGTCTCGAAGGAAAGAACCCCTGGAACGACATTGGACTCCAAAGAAGGAATCTAGGCAAAGGTCACATCGAGGCTCAAACTACGAAGTATGTGCGTCTCCTGATGATGTACAAGTTGTGATGACAGCGGAGGAAAATGTAACTCGCAAGAGGCTTATTAATTATTTCAGGTACATGATTAAGGACCTCTCATACATAAGCCCGGTTTCCGAGATCTCGCCTTACCTCTTAATCCTTTGTAAAATTTTCGATGTGTTCATATGAGAGGGCGCGCTGGCTTAGCTCCCGAGATCTAGGTTTTTCCAACCGGGATCTTGGTAAACGTGCTAAAAATTTTGCCATATGAACACTTCAGCCCGGTTACCGGGATGAAAGCGGGATGAATTCTGGCGGTCCGGATGGCATCATCTTGCATTGCCTGCTGTCCACATCAGAAGCATTCCATTCAACTGCAGTGATACAGCTTTAAGAGTTGCCGAAGCTNCTACGAAGTATGTGCGTCTCCTGATGATGTACAAGTTGTGATGACAGCGGAGGAAAATGTAACTCGCAAGAGGCTTATTAATTATTTCAGGTACATGATTAAGGACCTCTCATACATAAGCCCGGTTTCCGAGATCTCGCCTTACCTCTTAATCCTTTGTAAAATTTTCGATGTGTTCATATGAGAGGGCGCGCTGGCTTAGCTCCCGAGATCTAGGTTTTTCCAACCGGGATCTTGGTAAACGTGCTAAAAATTTTGCCATATGAACACTTCAGCCCGGTTACCGGGATGAAAGCGGGATGAATTCTGGCGGTCCGGATGGCATCATCTTGCATTGCCTGCTGTCCACATCAGAAGCATTCCATTCAACTGCAGTGATACAGCTTTAAGAGTTGCCGAAGCTACGATAGGCGCAAAAGTTATAACTGTTGTGTTTCACTATGTTTGCTTTGTTTCTCGAATTTGGCGTAAGAACTTGTCCCCAGATTCTTTGGCCGTTTCTCATCTCGGAAACCGGGCTGAAATTTCTCTTATGAACCTAAGGCGAAATTCGTCGCGGTAACCGGGTTAGTCCGGTCAACCGGGTTCATGTGAAGAGGCCCTAAGCCAGAGTAAGCAACAAAAATGACGTCTGAGTAACGAGCGCAAAAATTCCATACTGATGACGTCTCACTACCAAGATCTGGGTAGCGCTTCTGGTTGGTCATGCCGCGTGGGAAATTTGTTTTTAGCCAATCAGAGGCTGAGACGTCATAAGTATGGAATTTCTGCGTGGACGCAGTTACCAAGATTGACATTCAAATCTCGTACGTAGCGTTTCCTCCATGCGGCAAATGGCGGGGCGAAATGGTCAATTACTTCTGTCGATGAACGGGTAATTATCGTGCAGTTGCGATGGGTTGGGAAGCCAGCGAGCAAGATACAGAGGAGCACAGGTTATCTACGGTTTAGCTGATCGCCATTTGCAGCAGATCGGTCGATTATTCGTGAATTTATAGCGCTTCGCGTGAAGATGGACCGCTTTTTATGTAGCCAGCCTTTCAGCTTCTTATTTAGTGAATGTGACCTCCGAGTGCAAAACTAGACAAAATGCCTTTTAATGCAAGGTGATTTTCAGCTACAACTATGAGAGCTTTCTTTTGAAAAATTTCAGTTCGATCCTTTCATACAAGCTTTGGCTGAAAAGATCAGAGCGTCGAATTCGAGAAACATAACAGTGGAAATTTCAGTTGAAAAATACCATGACAAATAAATAGACAACGATATATGAATATATATCATATTTTTTTGGTGACTTCCCTTTAGTCGAATATAGTCGACTCTCCGGCTCTTTAGTCGATCTATATAAATCCTGATGCACCATTACTAGTGTTAATCGACACAGAGCACGTCTGGGCTGCCTGTGATATGCCTTTCCCTCCGCTATACGAACCTGTTATTAGTCAAGCTTACTTTAGCAGCGAGACTCTAAAATGAAAGCGTTTCTTTTCCTTTTTTGTGTGTGCACGCCAAAAAGGGGTCATAGTTCCTGGTGTTCCTAGCGGAGACCGTGGAAACTGGGGATAAATATCGCGACGTGCCCTACAACATATTCAGAGCGCGATGCAAGTTTTTTGAAGAAAGTTTAGGAAAGATTTATGCGGAAGATGTCGAGCTTTTCTGGAACGGGCCGGTCCACGAATTCTATCGCTTGCAAGCGTTGATATTACTTTGGAACAAATGAATAGTGGTTAAAAAAGAGGAATCTTTATGAGCAAAACTTCAATGCTGAGGCTAACTGGTCGGCTGTTGTAAACTTTCATTTTCTGCAAATGAGTCTTGTGATGAGCAGGCCGTTTTTTTACGGCGATGAATGAAATAACGCGCCATGTCCATCACGTTTTTGCTCTTCAGCAATGAAGTAAAACTTCCTCCCCAATCGAGGCCCTTGATTTTCGTGTATTTATACACACGTACTTAACCAATTCAAAAACAACTCGTCGAATACGATATGAAAAGTGAATATCCTGAAGAATACTCGGCCGTCGATAAAGTAAGACGTGAAAAACTGTTAGCGAGGAAATCCTGTTTCGTGTAGAATAAATCGCCTCCTAATTTCTTACCTAATCTTCGAGCAACAGGTTTGTTGTTTTCGGCAGAAAAAATTGTTAAAACAAAGTTACGAGTAAGAAAAGAATAATTGGTAATAATAATGTTATTCTCTACTTCACATTTAGGCAGATCACAGTTGTAGTGCACGTTTTTGTGTGTATCAAAATTTGTGTTTCATGATTCTTTGGATGAATGTCCATAAGACTGAAACTTGTCTTGTTTTTAGTGATCGCTGGAACATGCTAGACTTCATCATTCTTATCATCTACCTCGCAATCTTCTTTTTGCGTATGATAAGCTGGGCTACATCCTCTACGGTTTATGACAACAGGGCTTTAGCTGTTGCTGAGGTTTTATCGCCATGTTCCTTACCTTGCGAGTGTTTGGTCACGTGATGGAGTCTATCAGGGGAATGGGCGCCAAGTTAATTGCCTTCTTTTTCATTATGTGGGACGTGTTTGCGATATTTTGGCAGTTCGCAGCAATGATTCTGGCTTTTTCACTGGCAATGACAAAGATTTATGTAGTAGAGACATCGTATACTTCAAACGGGACATCTGTGGAAGATCTGTAAGTACACATAACTAGCATTTATTAATATTTGTAAAGATCTCACTTGTATAAAAATTTTATAGGGCCATGCAATTCTCGCATCTAAAACTGCTTGTTAAAGCTGGACTATACCCACTTGTCTACTTCAAGTATTTATCTTTCTTTTAGTTATTGATCAATCACTCAAAAACAGCAATGGTCATGAAGTTACCGTGAGAGGGCATTAAGCATAACAGCTCTACACTGAATTGTGCTATTCATAAATCAACCGTATGTGATATAGTTTTCATTGCACAAATAAATTTTTCTCTTTTAGAGCCTGCAGCGAAGGAGGTTTGACGTGGTGAGTAAGTGAAAATTAACATGCCATTGACGAAAATTTAATAGCTGTCTAATTTTCTTGCCTTATGTACAAGCGACCTCCGTTATGTACGCATAGAAGCAATATTAAGGGAAGCGACAGGTTATCGACAATGAGATGTAACTTATGCGAGTACGCAAATATAATTATCATAGTTCTTGTAATTCGTTAAATTTGACGTATTTATGCCAATAAGTAGTCAAGGGATTAAGCCGTGAGAAACTGGGGAGTGAGGGGTTAAAAGTCTTTGGCTAAGTTTGCTTTCTCGTCTTTCCCTCTTCCAAATCACATCGTCAAGGCCTTCTTGGAAAAAGCATTCACCTGCGATACCTCATCTTTTGCATTGTTTTTATTATGGTTAACAGTTGCTAAATAAAATAAATACGCTTTCAGGTAGATTTACTTAAAACAACATAAGTTGTTGCCAAACGTATGGAAAAGCAGAAACAACAATAACAACAAAAACAAACAGACAAAACCCTGCGAATCCGTGAAGCGCTCTTAGTAACCAACTGAGCTATCAATAATCCGACTAAAAGGTATCCATCATGTTACTCGTACTATAATCGTGAAATTTATCTATTTGATTGTATTTTCAGCTGGTGGACGATGGCGCAACATCTTTCTTGGTCTTGCTTAGGAATCTCGGGCCTGGAACAACTGGATTCCGTTGACAGGCCATCTGTGTCCCTGTCTTATCTGCTGTATGGCTTGTTCCTGATCATGGTTGTTATTCTACTCGTCAACATGATGATCGCGCTGCTCTCCAACACATATAACCGTGTAGAGGTACATTGTAAGAGTAAAACATCGCTACTTTTGATGTCATGTATCGTCTCGGGAGATTATCTGAGATGTAACCTTCAGGTACAGAACGGTACCTCGAAGGTGTGCAGTCTACTAAGTTTATAGCCGCCCTTAATATTCCAGTATCTGTTTTGTGAATACCACTACCTTGAACTTGTTTCTTTTTTAAGAGGTTTTGCGTGGCTCTTCAATACCTATGAACGTATAGAGGCACACTGTAAAAGTAAAACATCGCTACTTTAGATGGCATGTTTTGTTTTAGGAGATTATCTGAGATGAAAACTTTAGGTACAGAACGGTACCTCGAAAGTGTACGGTTTACTGAATTTATGAGCGCGCCTGCTATGACTAAAATGCCAGTATCCGTTTTGTATGTCGACTACCTATAATCTTGTTCTCGAGGTTTTGCGCTGCTCTGCAATACCTACGAACGTGTGAAGGTAAATTACACGACTAAAACATCGCTACTTGAAGTTTTGAATACACTTAATGCTTCGCCTAACCTGCGAAGCAGAACTCCGATAAAATGTAAAGTTTCGTGCACAACCCACCTTTACTTAAAGTTTAGTTTAGAGCCGAAAGCTTATGTAAAATTGATGTCACCACAAAACAAATACAGTAATACAGAATGTATTATATGGATCGATTTCGTCAATCATTTTCCTTCAGGAAAAAAGTAAAAAGCGACCAGACTGAATACGAATTTATACCCTAACACAAAACAGGGCAACCAACATGTCTCAGAGAACGCAAGGAGAAATTCACCTTTATCTTTGCACACGTTAAGCAAAACTTTATACCTCATAACCTTTGCTTTACTGGATATTTGACTTGTGTTTCAGGAAAACTCTCTCAGAGAGTGGTCTTTCAAGAAAGCTATGACCATTAGAAGTTACAGTTTATACCACCCAGTTCCAGTCCCTTTCAATATTGTATCACTCGCGGCCATAGGATTGTGGAGGCTGTGTCAGGGTGACAAAGGAAACCGATTTGATAAAACTGGATTTGATGAGAAAGGAAGGGTAAGGGACGCGGAAAAATTTTTCCTGCGACAGTATATAGCACTTGACCGTAATATATCAAACACGACTGGCCGTGTTTCATCCCATATCAAGACACTGAAAAGTGGGCTGAAAAATAAGACGTAGCCGAGTGTTTTAAGGTGACTCCTTAGTAAAAGAACGTAACATAGATTGAAGATGAAACTCGGTACACTGATGTAACAAGTCAGGAAGATGATAAAAAAGTAATAAAAAGTGGGGGTCACAGTGCTCGTTTTGACGTCACAATGCTGACAAATAAGGCTATTTAGGACCCTTTTACAAAAACCGAGGGCAGCCCAAAACTAGACAAAAAGGAGAAATTTTTTCGATGATGCATATGGTATCGCACAGAATTTGACCTTAATGTATTGTTTATCCACTTACGTACCAGAAAAATTCCTTTTAATGCCCTTGTTTTTACTTTACTCTCCAAAGTAGAATTAAATTGGACACGCGCTCTTCGACCCGTGATAGCTCAATCCGTACAATTTAGTAAAATTGCCAAAAAAGTGAACATAGATTTAGGCCAATTTTTTTCTCATCGAATGGAAGCACTGTCCTTATTAAAATCATGAAATAAAAAATAGAGGTCACCGTACTCGTTTTTGCGGTAGAGCTGCAGAAAGTGCACAGCAAATGCATTTTCTCCGATTTTTGAGAGAGGACTGGGGCGAGTTTCAAAATAGAATGTATGGGAAAGGGGAAAGAAAGTATTAAAAAATCCGTTTTTAGAGAATTTACATCGAGATATCACATTTAGGGCACAATGTGATAAAGAAAGCGTTTAAATGAAAATCAAGTGAGTAAGCACAAGTTAAACATCCACTATCGAGGTTCTCCGTGAAGAAGTCGAACTCAGCAACACGCGTACTGCTTACGTTATGCACATTCCCAGCACAATGAATCTCATCTCGGCAAGAAACAACAGGAAGCAAAAATTCCAATAGCGTTTCTCTTCAGTCAACTTCATTTTAATAATGTTACTTCACATGCTCTTTTTTACGGCGGCCATCTTGTTATGCGCAGTAAAAGATACGCACTGCAACACCAGGGAATCACCTTAAGCCAACTTCGAGGTATCTATACCTGATTGAGAAAACGAAGTCGCTTTAAAAATATCAACCATGCACTATGAGGCTTCAACTGAAAATTTTATGGGTATACGTTTATTAGCAAAGCAAATTCAAAGACGTTAGTTTTTTTCTTAAAAAGCTTACATTATCCCTAATTATAAACAGCTTCTCGTGCAAACCCCAGGAGTACTCATTGTTTGTGGTCATACCGTTTCTTCTTTTTTCTCTCTTTTCGGAAAACTTTAAGGTGTCATCTTATGCCTACAAGGGCGATCTCTGAAGAAATGTGTGCCCAAGGGTAAAGTTGTCGGCTGATCACCAAGAAAGAATTGATTCCTTTTGAGTTTTGTTGGAATGCATCTGCGCGAGAAGCTCGTGATAATGAAAGTTTTTGTAGAAAGAACTTTGAATTTGCAATGCTAATAACTTCTAACCATAAATCCATTAGGACTCACCGTTCATGGTTTGTACTTCTCAAGCGACAACGTTTTTTCAGTCAGGTGGATACATCGGATAAAACACTGAGTAGGTCGTTTGATATAGGTTCTAAAATAAAGGATTCTAAAAGAATTTCCACGCTATAACGTTTATGATAGTCTAGGCTAATTAAGATCTCATATCCAAGCCACCGTCAAGGAAGTCAGATTTCCTTTGTTCTCCTCGTGAATTATCGATGAGTTGAGAAGTAATACGGCATTCGCCATTTGTACATCTCCCCTTATAAACCTTTTTTGCCCCCGCTCCACCCCCGCCCCCAAAAATGCATAGCCTTTGTTTTTTATGTCTCCTGGGTATTACAGTACTCTTAAGAGTAATTGAAAACAATGCTTATGCAAAATGTGTTTTTTTTTTAGGGGAGGGGGGGGGGGGTAAAAAAAATGCATTTTGGGAGATGGGCAAGCGGGGAAGGGGAATTCACGCTTTTTTTCGTTTTTGAATTCTCCCTCTTTATTATTTAAGTTTAATTTTGCGAAAAACAGCATCTTTAGATCGGTCAATTGTTGCTAAAACTAATAGAAAAGGTAAGGGGGGGGGGGGGGGGGTAAAAAAGATGCATTATGGGAGATGTGCAAGCGGCGAATGGGAATTCACGCTTTTTGTCGTTTTTGAAGTCTCCCTCCTTATTATTCAAGTTTAATCTTGCGAAAAACAGCATCTTTAGAGCGAGCAATTGTTGCTAAAACTAACTGAAAAGGTAAGGAGAAAAAAAAAACAAGGTGATCAATTCAGGAAGAAGTTGGTTTGAAAGCCTTAACAGTGGAACTCATTTCTTTATTGTTCGTTTTTTATTTTAAATTTTTTTGTCCATATCTGTTTACATTTTTGTTTCCTTGTTCCCCAGAAAGCTGCTTTAGATAGGCTGGTCAAAAGACTAGAGAAGACTTACTTTGCAACATTTGGATATACTTTTCCCCTTACGGGTAAGGTAGTGCAATTATGGCAAGAGATGCCATTCTTGAGGCCAAAGTTCGTGTTGCTTGTGTTCTTAATTATCTGCCTCACGGAGAGTGAGAGTCAAAGGAGTGAGCATGCATGCCTCGCCGCTTGAAGTAAAGCCAATATTTAACCTATGAGCCGGATTACATGAGCCCTGCTGGCCCGGTTGTGCCGGGAAAGCTCGCTTTGCCGAGAGCTTGGTACCTTATTAAACACAACATAAATCAATTTCGTGATTACATGACAATCGGGCCAGCATGGTTAACCGCCATTTCTGCGTACCGGACTGGAAGCTTTCCAGGTAATCACGCTTGCTGGGCTAGCGAGGTGAACCAAACCAGTAATAGGACAGAGGGTAACACAATGAGTATGTGTACAGCTTGAATTCTGTCTTCTATCTCTCTGTAAACATGGCGGCTTCGAGATGGCCCGCTCCTTGTAATACCGGAATAAAAGTTTCCTTTGCAATTCCATTAAGCCTGGCAAACCGGACCAGCCCGGCTCACGTAATAACTATAATAAGGCCCTATAATTATGTTTTGGTCACTTAAATGAAGGTGTTTAAAAAGCTTTGATACGAAAACAGCCTCACGTGATGAATGGTTTGGTATTGAAATATACAGTTATCGGATTGACCTGGGTTTAATAATATTGTGTTTCAGAGGCGAAAAAGGTCGACCACGTGTTACATGAAATTGATGGAAGTCGCCGCATGGCTAATCAGATTGCTCAACGAGTGTTTGTTCAGCAGGGTTGTAAGCAGGACAGATGCATCGCTGGTGCAGAAGTAAGTAAGCTAATTATTAGCCGGGTGCTGCCGGATCTCAACTCGGTTTGCGGGATCATAAATCCCAAAGCTGGGGTTGTTCTTGGTAGCCCCGAGTTTGACCTTTAAGCCCTGATATCAAAATCTAAATTCTCATTTGTTGCCCTAATAACTTCTTCATGGAACTAGAAGGCTCCGAGAAGTCATTAAAAATTCTCCTTGTGTGATGTCCTCAATACTTTTGAACACTTTGATTATACTACATTCAAAAGAAAAAAAATTAATTAATTGCCTGCAAAAACAATAGTTGTAGCTTCCTGACGTAAAGTTGAAAAGAGTCCAAGGTAGGGTCTGCAGCTTGAAATGTGCTAATATTTCAACCTTACATTACCATAAGTTCTTGCTGCAACAGTTCTTATTCATCTGTTGAGACTATTTCATAGTCGTCTTTTTCTCTTGTCTTACTTTAGGCGTGGGAATCACTTGGTATAGGAATCAAAGGTTGCCTATTGACATATGAAGGCCCTGACTCCTGCCTTTCATGTAAAGAAAAGGAACCTAAGAGTGTTCATGAAGCGAGGTACTTGACTCCATTCACGCGAGAAAAACCGCGGATCGAGGTGAGAATTTTTAATGAAAATTTGTTGGAAAGAGGTAGACAGTGTCTACCTAAACCTGAATAAGCATCTCTGTCAGCGTGCTCAGACAACCTTTTAACCATGGAGCACGGATCTGAGAGGACGGCCGACGAAGAGAGTGGCACAAAACCTAAGGATAAACTGTGGTGGCTCTTTGGGACGATGGGGGTTCGTATGTCGTAGTCTGAATTTCTGAGAAAACCCTTCGCTTCACGTATTAAGGAGAAATCATGTCTCTGTCGGTATTTTACCTATTCCACGCTCTATTTGCGCTTTTCTTCCTCACTGTTGCAGCATAAATCAATTTTTTGTTCGTTTGTTGTCATTTTTATCTGTATTATTCATTTATTCGTGGAGAAGTGTGTGGCCGAGCGGTTAACACCTCGAACTCTGGATCTGAAGGTCCTCGCCTCGCCTGTCGCGTTGTTTCCTTAGACAAGGAACTTTACTCCACTTTGTCTCTCTTCACCTAGGTGTATAAATGGGTACCGGCGACAAACTGGTGGGGAGTAACCCTGCGATGGACTAGCATCCCGTCCAGGAGGGAGTAGCGATACTCCTAGGCATGCTTCATGCTACGTAAACTGACATAAGCTCCGGCCGTGTGGGCCTTTGGCTCGTATGCGCCTTTACCTTACCTTTTCATCTATTCAGGGTTTATTCTAGGAATTGACCAATAAGGGAGTTATAGGCCGTGTTGAGATTTTGTAGAGGGCCCTTCATCAAGAAAGAGGACCATTGTACCGTTTGGTTTGAAATTATTATTAATAACTATTTTGCTCTATTGGATTTTTTTCATTGTTTTCATCTTTCTCGGGCAGATTTTGCACTTCTCCTCGTCCGCTTCTTTTTTGCCTTCGCTCGCCTAAAAAAGTGAAAAGTAGCGCCTGTTTTACAGGCTATATCATCAAGAATTACATTGACTTTGCCTACAGGTGCTAATCCAGGAGAGTGGTGAAAGACGTATTCTTGGACTGGGTGTGGTATTTGAAGGGTACGACAGTCACTGGATGCCTGGATGGAAAGCAGGAACAGTAGGCTATCACGTGGACGATGGCAAAATATTCGAAGCTGGTTGCGAGGATCTGGGCAGGGACGTCGAAGGTAATAAGACTACTTTGAGGGAGGCCGTAAAGGCTACAGTAATTTGGTCGCTGTTTTGATGAACTCCAAATTATATTAACTTAAAGCTAAGCCTCATATCAAAAACGTCATGCTTTTTAACGAATTAGCTAATCAAAGGCTCGGTTCAAACGACGCATTCACAGGTGCCAAATATAATGCCAATGAGAGAACAATACATTTTCCTCATTAGCATCAAATTCGGCACGTGTGAAATGGGACGTTTACCGGACCTAATGTTTGTGCAGCGCCCGATCAAAATTTTGCTGTTATTTGGCGCCGACAAGCCTGCAGTTTCAGTCTTATTTGAAAAACTTTGCTTTAGTAAACTTTCAAAACGTTTAGTCAATTAACAGCGTTTTGTCTTTCCGGTTATGTCACAAATTGAAAATGAAAATGGCAGCCTTAGCTATCGAGTACTAACTTCTCTCGTTTCACTACGGCCAGGCCAGTGAGTGGGAACCATGCAAGTCAATTTATCAACCACTTATTCTTTAGGCGCTGGCACTCTACCGGAGCAATTCAATATTGTCAGGTGTCACATGCCACCTTTGATTCACAATCAAACAAATCTTCCCCTTTCAGAGGCTATGGCGTACCGTGGTGATCTCATCGCATGCGAAGTTGATTTCGGTGGTGTAAGAAATGGCAAGCTTCCAGTCATGTTCTTCTTAAATGGCAGAGAGATTGCTCGCGCGTGGACGAATAGCATTTCTGGAGAAAGAAAAGTGTTCCCCTTTATTTCAATGGCATATGAAGGAATTCGGGTTCTCGCTAAGGTATGACTGACCATTGGAACATCCTTTCTAAGAAGAATCCTTTCGTTTAGCTCTACCTCCTTTCCCTCCTTTTTAAATATTTGCGAACGAGTGCGAGATTGAGCAGGAGGAGGGTAAAATTTCCGCAAGCCACTCCATCAGAAGAGGTGAGTCGGGGTGGAGGAGGGCGTGCCCTCTGGCCGCAAGAGTACTGTTTTTTTTTGGTTCAAAAATAACGAGGGAGAGGTTGTGGGGGAGGGGGAGGTGTTCCAGGGCCTCTTCCTAAGTCACAGTCATGAACTCTCGAGCTGGAAGTTTAATCTGAATGTCGGGGATTTCTACGACCCCGTGCAACTGTACATTCAACAATCAAGAGGGATTATTACACTCCAAGGATCTAATACAATTACTTTCAACGATCAGAATTGCATATTAGGTTTTTCTTCTGTCCTTGCGCAAGACAGTAGTTTTACATAAATCACATGCTGTACAGTAAAATCCCGAATGTAATGCACCTAACTGAAGTTACTATTACAAAGTCACACGTTTCTCCTCTTTATTCAGCCTAAGTAAACCCATTCAGTCACATCATTTCATCCATTGCTTTTCTGAATTGTCGATATAGATGTGCCCAGGTGACAGTAGTATGTCCCAAATATCTCGTGCGCCTTCTGCACAGCGTCTTGCTAGGGATATTGGGATAGAAAAGGAATTAACTGACTGCCTGCAGAAACAGTTTCTTAGGCTGAAAGATGACATGGAGAAAATGGAACGAGAAAGAAAAGTGCAGGCGACTGAATTCCAAGAAAGACTCGATAAACAGTGGCAATTGCTGACGGAAATACGAAACTTAGTGATGCTTTCCAACCGAGAAGGGAAGAGAAAAGAACTTGATGAGAACTGACACTTTTCTTGACTGATAAAGATCAGGGAAAATAGTTGGTAACATTAATACAACAGTTTGCCCGGCCAAGCTGATTACATAAGATGAAATTTAAGGTTTCCGGATTGCCTATAGCATGGTTTGTATGTTAACTTAAAAGGCGACAGGCACCCTCTTTCAACTGTTACATGTTAGTTTATTTACCTTAGCTTAAGATTATTCTTTTCTTTGAAAAATTCGATGCAAAGAACAGACTCTGGAGTGCGTCCAAGAGCTCTCGGACCATTTTTTTTTTTTTGCATTTATTCTTTTTCTTTTTTTGTTTGAAAGCACCTTGAATAGCATAATAACCACTTATGCGCTTTTGTCAACCATGTGTGTACTTTGCGTTCAATGAAAAAAGCATCGTTTTTAAAATTCAGTTTTGTTTTGTGAAAGACGTGAAAGCCATTAAACAACAAAACATGATTAAACATTGCTTAAACCATTAATAACTTCCAAAAGTTTCATGATCACAGTTTTGTATGATTACTTGACCTTAATCAGAATATTTTGCAAAGGACCTGCATGCAAACCTATCCCAGCGAAGCGCCAGATTTTCGAATAAACTACGCCAGACATGTCTAGTTTTGGGTGAGAAAACAAATGGGTCATCCTAGGTTGTTTTCTATGTCTATTTGCCAAAATACGGGGGGACTCCGCATATGAAAGGGGTGGGGATGCTCGTCGGAAATTTTGAATTAAACCCCTAAAGGAGACCGATCTGGGCGTGGCCCAAGCTTTTTTTGACCCCTAATAGAGACCATGTTAAAACACAGACAATGTATATACTTATTTTCTTTTCACGGCTAAATATGATGGCGTTTTGCCCAGAACACCCTAAGTGAGACCAAAATACGAAATTTACGCCCCTAAGCGAGACGACGAACAAACCCCACCCCTTTCATATGCGGAGTCCACCCCCCGATAATACGGCTAACTGTTTTTATTATTCTTCTCGAAGTTAACGTGCTTGACTGACTCAAAATGTAATAAATAATAGTAGTTGGAGGAATAAAAATTTGTTGAATTTAGTGGTCAGTACCACAAGGGGACAACAAAAGATTTGGAGTTAAAAAGTTTAAAAATTTCAGTCGATAGGATTTTTAAGGGCTCATTACAGGGCGTTATATCATGTTTTATATAACGAAACGTTTGCATAACATGTGCTAATGGGAAGGGGAGAGAAAGATAAGGGCATAGCCCTATTTTAAGAGCTATCATTTACCATCATGAATTTGCTAGGCCATACATAAGATTAAGAACACATACACATCTCTGGCTTATTAATTCTGTCTACATTACCCGCATCATGTCTACCTACGTATGACCACAATGCATATCCCAAAAAACGGTTAACCAACTTCCGGTATCTCCAAGAACAAGCGCGCTTGTTGATTGGTAAGGCAGAGGGTAGATAATGTCAACACGACCCAGTACCAACGCAGATTGTTCTAAAGTTGCTAGATGTTCTGTTGCCAGAGGCTGATTACCACTTTCTTGAAACTGTCCCCTTTCTGAGGTCCAGTAAGAGGCAGTTGTGTTGCCATCTCTTGTGAAGCTTCGATTGGACATTGAGTTAAATTTTCCGCTCATACAGTCGGTAACCTCCCCTAAAACTGTCGAAGAGGGCTGGGGCTAGGCAATTAAGCTCTCGACTACAATCAGCGCATAAACAGCAGCAAAGCACGGCAATTTAAGATTACAAATGACATTTTAATGTCTATGAATGGCAAACTTGTCAACCTACCACTTGTATTATAAGATTTGAGCACGGAATTTGACACGATCCATCATAAGCTGAAAAATGATATCATAATCATCCTCGTCTATTTTCACCTTGTCACCGCTGACTGTTGTTCTACCATCTCCTACCGATCGCACGCTTGTAAACTGGTAAATTGCTAACGGCTTAAACAACACGAAGCATTAGCATTCTAATTGTTTTTTTTTTTGCCTGATGAAAAGAGTTTGCGTTTGTCTATAACCCATGTGAGGACTACTCATGAACAGTCAACGCATCATCTCATTAAGTAGGTTTATTCTTCAATTTTTTGTGAATAAATGATAACAGTTGATCCTCTGCCGCCCTCTGCGCATTTGCACTGTAATGTACATGATCTAGTGTGCCATTAGGGTACGAAGCGGTCATTGGATACACTTCCAACACAGGAATACCTGCCTTGCACATGGCGTTAGTCGCGTATTTATGAAACAATTCCAGTCTCTGAGGAGAAAAAGGAATCGCACAATCATACACAAAATTGAAAACTGACAGGAAATAAATACAGAATCTAACCCAAGTTAAGTAAACCAGCAAACCTCTTTAAGGAAACTGAAGCCGTGGTAGAAAGATATGAAGTTATGTCTTTGAAACGAGTTGCTCCCTACATGTTTTCATGTTTTTGGACTTCTTTTTCCGGTACACTGTGTCATCACAACGGAGAAAACTATATCCATAGAGTAGGAGCAACCTGCTGAGGGTTGGTCTTATTCAGAATGTTAATTTTCTTTTAAATTGGAGATGCTGTATTAGAGTCAGGGTGCTTTGGTAGCCCTGAGCCAGCTGTTAAAAGTTATAAAAAAGGGATTGATTATTTCGGCTTTTAGTCATGGTTTTACTGTTCAATGTTTTAACTTAAAAAATATAGACGTGTTAAGATCTGCGCATGCACAGTAAGGGAGAGACTGAGAAGAGTACTACCGCTCCAAAATAATCTTGAGATTCCACGCATCTTCCGAAAAACATATTTCAAGCATTTCTTGCTACTTTGTGGTAATGATGATTGTTTGGTACCTTCTGGACCTTTGCACTGTTTTCCCGTGTACAATAACAAGGATACTGACAATAGCTGACAGTGAATTTTACCGTTGTTACAACAACTGTTAGAGCTACAGTTATGATAGCGATATATGGCGACAACAGCCAAAAAAGGAAACTTTTAACAATTATTCCACGAGTGCGCGCTGGATATGAGTTGGCCATAATCATCTAATATCCAAAAAGCGCGAGTAGAATAGTTGTTTTATTAAAAACGCACACAAGATATCGAGAATTCTTCCCGACTATATTTGTAAAGACAACCTTTTCTCAGCTTGTTTTTAATTTTGAGCAGACCCGTACAGATACCATATTGGGAGAGCATAGTACAATGGCTCATATATCATGATGGCTAAGCCAGTCACAGCTCTAGAATTGCAGTATCCAATGATTCAGTTTAATAATTCTTCATAACTCGGTAGATAACTCTCTCCTACTGATTTCATCATACTCAGCTTATTTAAATACGTATAGACCAAACATACCATATACAGTAAAAACCCGCGTATAAGATCTTAAGTTTTTCCAAGCTAGGCTAAGAAGGTTCTTATAAAAATGTTGCTAACTGGAAAATTAGGTTACTCAGGTTCTTTAACAGGCTCATATTTTTAAAAATAAATAACGCGTTTGTCATTGGTGGGTGTGGCCTTTTGGTATTACGTGCATATGTTATAAAAATCCCTCAAATCTAAGCATGTTAAACAGAACAAAAACAACATTGAAACATGGTATTGTGTTTTATCTTCTTTTTTCTAACTGGTTGAGCTTGTTCTATTAAAACAGGTTCTTATGTAAAAGGGGTCTAAATAGAAAATCTTAGCCTAACAATTTCTTAAAATCTAAGTTCTTATACGCGGGGTTTTACTGTAATGGGTAGTTGGTGGAGGGCATCATGTTATACCTGATGAGTATGGAATCTCCAATGAGTCAAATTCTTCGGATGAGTCTTTTCTTTTTCAATGGATGTTGTTGTTTTCCAAATAACAATGGGTTTATTGTTGTGCTCATCAGCAAACCTGCTCCTTAACATTCTTATCACGCTATCTATGAGGTCTTTGTAAGTTGTGAAATTGAGCCATATTGAGAAGTGAACGCCAAGGTTAAATACAAACACGCTGTGGTTGCTACTCAAATCTGAGGAATCAAGAAACTCTGACATATGCTGAAGGACTAGTTTGTTGAAATCGTTTGTTGGAGTCGTTTGGTATGTTTGCTGAAAGACAATTGGTATAGCATATACATAGTTAAATCCTTACAAAAGTTAGTAACATAATTAGAAACCTGAGAAACAACATTTTTGATATCGTGTTAGTAACTTTAAATACATACAATGTTCTATGTTTCGTCTGTTTCAGTTAAATGTAGGTTATTTTAATACAGTAATTATAAGCTTAACGACTTGAATTCAAAATGCTGGTTGCTAAGCCGTGTAGCTCTCTCTACACATTTACTAAACAAGCGAATGACTTGCCAATTACCGGAAATCGCTTCCTTCAATACATGCTAGCCTGAAAACAATCAAGTAGCCACCTACGTCGCAACGTTCTATTTTATCGTTTTAACCTCTATTTAACTGCTCCTCGCTAAGTGGAACTGAAAATCAGTGGTCAAGTTAATATATCAGAGATAAATTTAGCCAAGGCTGAAAGCGAATCGTCCCCCTTTAGATACTTTTAATTACTTAAAACCAAAACATTTGTACCTAACTTTTCAATAAATCAAATTCGATCACAACTGAATGGTCTTGAAAAAGAATTTTTACCATACGTTTGCATCGGCGAACCCATCCTCCTCCCTGCTCCACCACACCCCTTTGAGAAGCTAATAGCCCATAGATTTAATGTTTTACAAAGAATGGTTGTCATTCACGAAACTCTTTGGCTGGGTGCAGTTCACACTTTTTGTTTATAGGTCAATCTTTCCGTCCAAAAAGGATTCTACCCAAATGGTAAACTAGGCCGATTTTTGTGTTTAGAATAAGCTTCCTTGGCTTTGCAAAATCGGACCGACCGTTACGTGTTAAAACTACCCTTATCAAAATATCTGATACAGTCGACTCTCTCTTAACGGACACCTCTATAAGACGGACACCTCCCTAAAGTTGGTCCCTGCCTTTCTTTACTCCCTTTATTTGATTCTCTATAAGACGGACATCTCTCTAAGACGGACACTTACTGCCGGTCCCAAAGGTGTCCGTCTTAGAGGGAGTTGACTGTACTCAGTAACCTTTACTGTAAGTTATGCTTTTTGTTTCCTCTGGCGAAAAGACCCAGGAAGGTTGATAACTTATCTTTTTTAATAACTGGGAGGAGGGTTTATAACCGGAATAACATTTCTTTTACAAGTAGACGGGCTTAGGAGGGAGGCTTAAAGGCGGGCGGGCCGGCTTATAACCAATCCTTTTTTTTGGTATAAGAATTTTTGTTCCATACCTGGTTTATCTTCATGTATGCTTCAATGCACTTTTTAAAGAACCTTTCACAAATTCCACGCGATATCAGAGATCTAAAGAAATACCGAGCTATTGAATCACCATAGATACAAAGAGCATCTGCTTTTGTGAAGGGATTGTCCAGCGCCTCTGCTGTTGTTGGAGAGTTATCTGCCAAAATAAAGCAGCTTCATTCTTCAATATGACTTGCAGAGTCTTGTTTCCTGGAGTCGTGTCTGGGACTCCAGAGAGAGAAATGAAATGAACCTACGTCAATAGGGGTGATGACGATGAATAGAGAGGTGCTACATACTTCTAATATTTCTGAGGTCTAGCAAGTGTCTGTTCACTCGATTTATCCCGGACATACATAACGTAGCCTGGACTCCCCGATTTTGTTATTTCAAATCGACCTCGCGCAGTGCCGTTGTCCGATTTTGAAATCGCACGAATGATTTTTATCAAAAGTGCGGGTTGAATGACACAAGGCAAAATTAAGCTTGTACGTGTATGTACATGTGTAATTTTCTGTGTATTCTGATTGCACGGCGCTTTACTCGCATGGACCTAGCGTTATTTTCTTTGCCTTGTCTTAAGCTGTTAAGCAATAATAAAAAATTAAAAATAAGAATAAAGAAAAACTAAGAGGACTTAAAGTAAAAAAAGATAGTTCGTAATAATAATAGTGATAATAATAATAATAATAATAATAATAATAATAATAAATTTGTTTTAAATGGAGAAAAAATTTTATTGACAGCAGCAAATATACTATAATAATAATAATAATAATAATAATAATAATAATAATGATAATAATGATAATAATAATAATAATAAAGATAATATAATCAGTTCCTCAGTATGCACAAAAATTAAACTCGTTAAAAGTCTTGCAAAACCTATCGTTTCCGTCTTCAAAACACGCGAATTATCCCTAAAAAGTGCCGCTTAAACAAGCGGTCCGATTTGACAGGTGATTTCTGTCTGTGACGTCATGTGGCGTAAATAGATTGACTCATAACACCAGTCACTCAGGAGTCACTAACAAGTCACACCAGGAGTAACGGCATTCTTTGACGTATGTGTAACGCATGTTATCTCCCGGTCCAACCAGGGCAAGTACACAGCTACGATCTTCAAAAAGCAAGAAAACGAGAAGAAGAGGAAATACAACCAGAGAGTGATGGATGTAGAGATGGGAACTTTTACACCACTGGTGTTTGGTACAAACGGGGGCATGGGACTCGACTGTCAGAACGTTTTAAGAACTCTCGCAAATAAGCTTTCGACTAAGAACAATGAACCTTACGCCAGCGTTATTTCCTGGCTTCGAATACAGCTCTCATTTGCTATATTACAAAATGTACACAGATGCGTCAGAGGTTCTAGATATCCATTCAAATCACATGAGGTCTCAGAAGACTTCACTTTCGCTGTAGCTGGTCTACATCTGCACTCATAATTTTATAGGCCTAGATTTTTGATAATTTTTTTTCTTAGTAATGCTTGATTTTCCTTTTCCCACTTTTAAATTATTCACAATTGTAAATAGTTTTCTATCGTGGACATATATTTAGTTTTTAATTTGTAAACAATACGATATAATTTAAAATTTTAAATATTACTGATTGTCCTCATACTTAAATAAAGATTGGTTTATCATTATTCTCATAACACTGGAAAAGTGACCCAAAAACCCCTTTGTGGCACTCGATTTGTCTCGGACATACAAAACGTAGCCTGGACTCCCCGATTTTGTTCCTGTTGATAGTGAGGCCTTGGTTGTACCCAAGCTATTTTAACGCATTTTGATAACATTAAAATTGTGATGACTATTTTCAAACGAAGTCAATTATCAAAAGAAATCATGTATTTACCTAACAATAGAGTACAAACCTATAAATGGCTGCCACACACCGTTGACCCATCTGCCGAACCCGTTCTGTAACAGGTTGCAAGTTATTCCACAAGTTGATGCTTTAACAACTGAGAAGATTTGGTAAAAAAAGCCATGTTAATTGCCTAAAAATAATCAGATAACTGTGGTTTCTTATCTTATGCGGAGGAGTTATGTTTACGTGAAAATCCTATCTTTTACGGATTAACGCATTCAAATATTCCGACTGCGGAGAAAGCAAGCTAGAATGGCTTGATGTTTCCTTCGCTGCCACTTTTCTTATTGGTTTCGGTTCCGCCTCTTTCATGAACTCGAGTGAAGGCCGATCTTTGACTTGGTCGAAAGTAATAGAGGCAAATATACTGTAGTTGATATACATTAGGATTGCCACTATGGCAAAAGATCGGCATTCCAAAGTCGAAATAACTAAGCTAGGGCGCGGGAGGAATTGTTGAGCTGATTCAAACTGAAATAATCCGCTTAGTTTTTCCTGACTCTGTCCTAATTGAAGGTATTGGGCTCATGAAACAAGTTCTTATCTTACGACAAGATAGTCTGTTACCTGAAATATACTTCTGAGTGTTATGTGTGTTTTCTGGGACGTAAAATGCAACGACGCTTTGTCCTCCAATCGGTTCTAGTATGTAGTCATCGCCAATGTATCCCAGGATCCCATCTTTGTGGTGTTTCGCTTGATTTGTCCCTTTTTGTTAAGTGATTTAAAAAAATGAATAATTTGTTAAATTACTGTTTTAATAAATGTTTTATGCTGAATATTAGTTTTAGAATATTACTATTAGAAAATGAAAAACTATCGATGCAAGAAACTTTGGTTATGATGTCAGTGACGTCCGCCATTGCGCCCGCCCGTCCACCCGTCCGCACGTACGCACTGGCAGGGAGGGAATAAGTGGACACGAATTTCAACCCTCCTCCCCTAGAGAGTTATTGTCCCTATTGTTTCTAAAGGCTTTACAACTTTCTACTTAGTATATCTATGGTGGTTTTTAGGAGGTAGTGAAAAAGGATTTGACACCTTAGTTAGGATATCCACTTTCAAGAAAATTGCTTGTGCGCGTTCACCATGCGGTGGTTTTCAATACCAAAGTTTTGCATTTTAAGGTTGAAAATACACCGTTAAAAGACACAAATGGAAAGGTAAAGTTGAAAAGATGCTCAGTTTCCTTTTTGTGAACAAACGAAAGCATGTCATTAAGAAATTGTCCTTCTAGGAATTCAACCTCATTGTTTTCTTCAAGACGGAGCGCTTTGCCTGTTTTGAAATACAACCAAGACAGCGAAGTTTTTGAAGAAATTTCAGGTATGGCCTTATACATGCTCAAGCTTATAAACATGTTTTCTAGTGTTCGCCATTCAATTACGCGAGCGAAGTCGGCGGCTGATGAAAAAAGAAAAACAGACTCAAGGAAAACAAAACTTTGAAAACATTTTAAGAAACAAGTCAGACGGACTACTCTTCTTTCTTGAATAAAACTGAATTGTTGTTATTGTAAATGTTCCATTGAATTGTTATTGATGATCGTATTCATTACTTGCCATAAGGTGTGCTTCTCCCCCCGCCCCCTCTCCCCATAATTCGAGCCCTGTAGCGGTTGAATGGAAAAAAGTATCTAAAATATAAAAGAGTTCTCCTTTCTTCTAACAAACAGACTTGTCGGTTTTTCACTCCCGAGTTCGCCTTTTTGGAAAAAAAGGTTTAAAGTTTTCAAGAGTTTTTGTATCACTTTTAATTTGTAGCCTATTATAGTTTGTAAATAAGTCTATCGCACGTTTCTCAGTGAATGCACAGCACAACACCTGAACACGTACCGCACATTTTGTGTAGGTTAAAGAATAAATAGCGATAAAGGTTAAATGAGTTATTTGCTGTCCTAGGTATGTCCCCAAAGAAAACAAACAATACCTTAATGTGGAAAAAAATTCTCTCAGATACTGTGAGGTATAAATGTAAAAGCTACACATATCTGTTCGTCCGGGCCCGATAAGAAAACACATCATGAGCTTAAGGGAGCACAGATGTCGGCTTGATTTTTCTTTTAGTTCCTCCCTTAAGACAGAAATTCTCACCCTAGAAATCGCAACCTGCAAATTGCTGCTCCTGAAGAGACCTATAACTTTGCAAAGGGGTGTGGGTTAAATGATGTAGTCTGGAAGAATTCTACTACTCTGATCGCACTTAATGCCTTCTGACTTTTAGCTAGCTTGGAGAATTTTTTCATTTCAGGTGCGTTTGCTGGATTTTTTTTCGTAATCACCCAACCCCTCCCTCGAAAGGTAAACTGATGCCTAAGGCTCATAAGGTTAAATAGGGATTTGAACATTTCTTTCTGGTGGCCAGTAGAGTTTTTTTAGTTTAAAGTTAATTGCTTTTTTTAAGTATGCAAACGGAGGCTTCGCTTTTAGCTCTGGCTAAAACCTTATATTAGATAATAGCCCTTTTTACTGTTTATCTTTTGAGGGCTGTAAGGGCAATCTGAGGTAAAAACATACATTGCTGTCCCCAAAATGGTGCTGCAAAGACTCACTAAGTGAAGTGGAAAGCATTTTAGCAGGGAGAGTAAATTTTCACTGCATCAGCTACCTTAAACTCTGCAAAAATGCAATGTTATTAAACAATTTTTTTTAGCTCCACACCTTGTATGATCCAGTCCTCTGGTGGATCACGAAGACCGTCGCAGAGGGTGAAATCTAAGGTAATCTGGGCAGAGTAATTACCAGGTTCCATCACTAAGAATACCACCTCATATACCCCGTCGTCATGGTCCAACACTTGTGGCGCAAGGGATGCTGGGCCTTCTCTTATGTACACTCGCCACGCATCGCCACCAAAATTCTTATGAATGCCTTCTTTTGTAACAGACTGAATGAAGAAACGACTAAACTGACCTAAATGATAAAGAAAATATCCTGTAAAGAAATATTCATTGTTCAAAATGAATGCAATGTTAAATTTACTCTTACATTTAGAACTAAATCAGTGTGGCCGAGTGGTCAGCGCGTAGAACTCGCAATCCAGTGGTCCCGAGTTTGATTCCACTATCCACTAACAGGATTTCATTTTTCGGTCGTCCCAACTTCAAATTCTTAGTCAAAATTTTAAAATAGCTATCTGAATGCCTCTTGCTATTTGGGTTATTTTTAATCCTGTTATATTTTTCAATATTTGCATTATTTCTTTGAAATTATATGAGTGGAGTACCTGTAAGTAGCTGGTGTAGCTATAGTGCACTTCCACTACCACAAACAAAGCATTAACAATTGACGTTGTCGCCTAAGTTTACAACTGTATCTACAAAGAACTGAAAAGAAATACTAAAATTTTTCGGAGAAGAGGATTCAATCGTCCTAGCAAGAAATGATCTTTGTGTTGAAACTAACACAAAGCGGGTGTATAATTTATATTCACTACCCTGTGCAGTATTTTCTTAATAGACCGTGTAAATTTATCATTTCACTAACACGATCAGAATCCATTTCGTTTTTCTTTTTATATTTAAAGTTCCTAATCCCCAGGTCTTTGAATAAAATATACACAAGAAAACAAAAACCCCAAAGGGTTCTGGAAGAAGTAGTAAAATGACGTCATCCACGAGCAAATGGCTGATTGAACGATAGCGACGTTAATTTACAATTTGGCTTGGAGGACCCACATTTTGCTTCAAAAAAACTACAATTTCTTCGTGCCTAGCGTTTATTTAATAAAGGTTCCATCCTCTGTTAATAGGCGTCTTTTAACTCCTAATTCATTATTTTACAAATAGATGCTTAAATGACTAACCGCAGGGGGGGGGGGGGGGGCTAGCGGGGGGGGGGGGGGGGGGGGGGGGGCTATTTAATTCAACTTTCTTTTCAATACCTGGTGTTTATAGAAAAATGTTACAAAAATCAAGGTTCAGGAATTTGTATCTGTTATTTACCTGCAGGTTGTATTTCCCATTTCTTAATAAAACTGTTATACGCATCAGTCCTCCATTCGGAGTTTACTTTACGCTCGTCCCAGGCTACTTTTCCGACACACGGTTTAACCACTGTCTCCCAGTCTACCCGCCATCCTTGCATTATGCACCACTGCTGCTGAAAGTGTCGTATGTCATCATGTTCGGGGTTTTCAAAAAAAGGTGTCTTGCACCCCGTCAAGGTGTATACTGTCCAAGTAATATAAACGGTTGTTATAACAATCCCAAAGAAGATGGCTTTTTTGATGGAACGTTGATTGATGATTCTAAGAACTCGACACCCCATTCCTAAAAGTCACAATTTAGAGCGTGAAAGCAGTGATTCTTGGCGGGAAGTGTAATTAGACTAAGAAGGCCAATATGGCGCAGCTACCGTTTCAGCCAAGACCTGCAGCACTCTGAATATCATCAATAACAAATTATTAATTAAATTCTACCACGTGTGAAATTAAAAATCCCTTGTCAACGTTGCCTATATCTCATTGCCAGTTTAAAGATGTTACAAATGACGATATCCCGGCACGAACAAATAAATAAATAAATAAATGAATAAAAAGCAGTTTAATAAACCCAGGGTGCTTAACCGGAAAATTCAGGAAATGACTAACTTTACGTTAAAACTCGGTATTGAATGAGAATTCTGCACCCATGCTATAATCAAGTAATCAAATGGTTTGTTTGTAAAATAAGAAAGTAATTTCACTCGCTTTTTATTCAAATTGCTCGGGCAACTATAATTAGAATTTTGACAAACCGTAGGCGAAAATCATATCCTAATTTCCTTGTTATCATTTGATCCTACACCTTTTACTAATCACAGCCCGATTATGGAAAGGCTTTAGAGAGCTTAACCTTTACGTATAGGGCAAAAGGCAAACGTCAGGTACAAGTTGAGAATTTCTCGGACAAAATAGAAAATGAGGAGATAAAAACAGCTCAAAACAATTCGTATGGATAAAAATTGCGTGAAAATACTAATTTATGCGTAGAAACTGAATAATGAACAGTAAACGACAAGCAAAGGAGAAACGTGGTCACGTGGTACAAATTAGCGTTTGCCGTTTGACAGATGGCTCGGAGGGAGATATTGTTACTCCTCTTTACTTAATATATTATATATTACTAAACGCTTTCTTAAGATACCTCAAACTGAGATTCAGTCTCAATTAGGCAACTGAATGAAACTTTATGACTACATTGCTAGGATATTCTTAAAATAGACTGTTTCGTTTTCGCACTCGCAGAGAAAGGCCAATATGATGCTTCTGCAGTAGAGTGATTTTCGTATGACCTTGAAATGAAAACGCGCGAACAAAACAGAAACAACGAACGAACGGAAATACAGCGATTTAATTGCTTTATCAAACGGATACAAACGCCCGTGTATTTTGGTTGGTTAAGCGATCGCTCAGGTGAAAAAACTTGATGCCCGAGAACTTTCTAAAAATCAACCGATACTTCGCTTTGACGTCTTACAGCAACACGATTGGCCAATCGAACAATGCCTTCTTCAAATTTGCAGGAAAACGAAGAGGCCATGTTTTGATCGTTTAATTCACTGGCTAATAAAACAAATCAGGCGAACACTTACCGACACCATTTTTCAAGGTCATACGAAAATCGCTCTAACGTAAGGCAAGAACAGATGTCCCCGAGGCAATGTTTACACTAGCTTTTGATCGAGGGCTTATGTTCGCACATAGGAACGGTGATTTCACTGCGATTTCAGTAACGGAGCGAAGCCGCACCGCGCCGATCTCTAAAGTGGAGAGTCACATATCGGATATTTTTTCATACTATAGGTCAGATAGCTTTTCGTGTGAGCACGAAAAGCTCTCCGGAATAGTGTGAACGCAACCTGAAATGTAATATCCATACACACAGTCTCTTTACTGACAGTAGTTACTTACGCTCCCGCCAAAGAAGGATCATTTTTCACCCCTCAGCTTCCGGTGCTTAACTCGACGAGAAGGTCCGGCCTCTGGTATTTCAAGAATCTGAGTTTTACTCCGGCCTGGAATCAAAATAATCCTAATCACTCCGAAACGTGTCTGATACAGGGGCATGAATTTGATCTAACTAGTCGGTGGTATTGGCGAACCCTTGATAACAAGTTGTGACTCATATCATCATTAAGCTATTAAAAACTCTGGGCATTGAAAGTAATATCTTAATACAATAAGCCATCGCTAAAAATGTGAGTCCGATGCACTAGATATACTCTTTACATTTTTGGTTATAATTTCTCATCGGCTCGTGATCGGTATAGATCTTAATTAATCTCTTTTCAAAATGTTCTTATATGCCTCAAACAACGGTAACCCGGACTCAGTTTACTAAAAAACTTACTTATCCAGCTGGTACTAACACGGCGGAAAACTTTACCTTGCAGGGCAGTTAAGTGTCCAATTATTTTGTAACTTGGTTCAGCGTGGGACCGTCCTTATGTTGCTCTATGAAATACAACCAATCTTAATCCCTTACGAGTTTTCTGAAAGGTAAATAGTGGATTAAACAAAGCATGTGTTTTTGACTAGTTTCTAAGAAACAAATTCTATTCAAAAGTGCATATAGTTTAAAACCTATGGCAGTGAACCTGAGATCACCTACTTTTCTAGAAAAAAAAAAGACATTTTATTCAACTACTTTGTAATTAATGAATAGAGAAACAAAAACCATAAAAAGAGTAAAGACTTTATACTTGGATTGTCACCGTGCTGTTTGCACAAGTTAAAAGTCAGTCCTTCTAAAAACATTCTTCCCCTGTGATCTCATGTTGCTTAGTGACTCAAATATACCAAAGACCGGCAAAACGAGTTGTTTCGTGGGATACCAGTGGTTAATAACTTAGACTTTCGCCGTAAAGTGGTGTGAAAGTAACTTTTAACTTTAACAGCACTAACGAAAACTCAACTGACTGTATGCTTGAGAAGTTACTCCAATGGGCTTTCAAGGAAACAAAGCAGCTTACAAATTTCATTACAGTAAATTACAGCGTCAGAATAAAGTTCACCGCGAATTCAGCTCTGCAAATGCAGTACCTTTCTTTTCTTTCCCCCACCTTCTGTTCATCACACAAAGCATGATATTCAGGTCAAACGGTACAGAAAAGCTTTAACCAAAACCAGCTTCACGAGATGAACGCTTTGGTACGTTAAATACACAGTTCTCGGATTGACCTGGGATTTATATTGTTCTGTTTCAGAGGCGAACAAGGTCGATCACTTGTTGGCGCAGGAGTGAGTAAGCCAATTATTTATTTGGGCGCTGCCGGATTTTAAGTCGGACCGGCGGGCTCATATAGAGTGTTTTCACATGACGTCACGGCGGCCATATTGGTGTCCCAAAACAATGAAACGGCGGCCAAGTTGGTGTCCCAAACAAATCCTGTGGGAGTTGAACTTTTTTCTTATGCAAACGCTTTTTTTGTTCCAATAAATTTGCATAGATGCTTGTCACGTGAGTGAAAACGCTCTATAGCCCATAGCTGGTGCTGTTTTCGGTAGCCCCGAGGTTAACCTATAGACCTCTAATGTCAAAATCGAAATTCTCATTTGTTACCCCAATACCCTTTCTATTGAAGTAGAGTAGGAAGAATTTTTTTTTTCGTTTAGCTGGCTCTTATTACTTCCTTTCCATCCCTGTTTAAAGTGCAAGACAATATTTAGCACGAGGAGGGTGAAAATTCCGAAAGCCAATCCCTCAAAGTATGGAGGATAGGTGGTGGAGGGGGCGCTCTCTGGCTGAAAGGGTACTGTTTTTTTTTTGGTCCAAAAATTACATGAGAGGTGATGGGGATGTGTTCCAGGGCCTCTTCCCAAAATTCGTCACAGCTCTATTTTCTTGGTGTAGGTTTCTAACTGATGATCTTGTACTCGCGTTCTGGACGTCCAAGCTAAATGTCGCGGATTTCTACGACCCCGTACGCTGGAAAACTGGACAATCAAGAGGACTGTATATTTTTACAAGAAGTGATTATTGCAAGCCAACGATCAAACTCGACTGAACTAACTGCATTCTAAGTGTGCTTTGGTTTTTCCTCTATCCTGGCGCCAGACAGAATTTTTAAATAGATCACATGTTGTACAGTAAAATCCCAATTGTAATGTACCTATTGCAAAATCCCACATCCATGCTACATCCATGTTATATCATTTCAAACATTTCCTTCCTGAATGGCCGATTTAGATGTGCCTAGGTGACAGCAGTATGTCCCACCGAATATCTCATGCGCTTTCTGTACAGCATCTTTGGCCACGGTGTTGGGGTAGGAAATAATCTAACTGCCTGCAGAAACAGTTCCTCAAGCTGAAAGATGACATGGAGACAATGTAACGAGAAAGAAGAACACTGGCGACTGAATTTGAAGAAAGACTTTATAAACAGTGGCAATTGCTGACGGAAATACTAAACTTATTAATGCTTTCAATTCCGGAGAAGGGAAGAGAAAAGAACTTTATTCTCTATTTTCCAATTGCCCATAATACACTCTGTTTGCCCCCCAAATTCTGCATAAACCATTGTTTTTAAATGCTCCTGGGAGTATTGCATTTTCCCAAGAGCATTTTAAGACAATAAATTATGCAAAATTTGGGGGGCAAACAGAGTGTATTATGGGCAATTGGAAAATAGTCAATGAGAAGGGACAGTTTGCTGGGCTGATGAAAAAATGAACTTGAAATAATGGCAACAGAAAAATCTAGCCATCATTATTAGATTTTCAGATATTCGACAAGTGTTTCTTTCTTCTTATGAATTTTTGCACGACCTGATGATCTGACATTACTTTTAGCACGATCTTTTTACAGCGTCACTGAGCGCTTACAAAAGGATAGCTTGTGTAGAGAGGACATCCGGCTCTATACAGGGGCACCCAACGAGAGTATAGTTCAAAACCAGTTAAATATAGCATTGTTAAACGAATTCTAGTATTTAAACAGCAGATATAGGCATATTTTTATCCCCTAAAATTTTTTCATCTGTGGGGATTTCCTAGCTGAAAGTCTAGTGATCCGAAAATTATAGAGATCAAAACTTACCTTTTCGAAAATTGCAGCCAGAAAAAAGACTCCCGAAAATTCTAGGTGACCTTTTTAGGGTAAAAATCCGTCAAAAATTGGTAATTAAAAAAAATCCTAGGAGAGGCAGGCAAGCAAGAAATTTTACAACAAATGTTCCGAAAAATTCTAGATCTCAAATCGTCTTCCGAACAGATATTTTTTTCTATATTCTGTCGGCGAGAAATACGTGATTGCTCAGATGTCGGGTCAGCCTTAAGATCATGGTTAATCGTTGGTAATGATAACACAACACTTTGCACTGCCAAGCCGCGGATTACATAAGATTAAATTCAAGGTTTCCGGATTGCCGGCAGTAGTTTGTAAGTCAGTTTAGAGCCACTGCATCGAAAAGGTGACAGGTACCCGCTTTCAACTGTTGCATGTTAGTTTATTTACCTTAGCTTAAGATTATTCTTTTATTTCAACAATTCGATGCAAAGAACAAATTAACTTTGGAGTGTGTCTAAGAGTCCTAGGACTAATTCTTTTGCTATTATTACTTTTCTTGTTTTCGTTTGAGGCGCCCGCCTCGAATAGAATAATATACTACTTTGTCAAGCATTGTTACGTTCAACAGAATAGCAACGGAATATGAAGTTAGACTAGTCCTGTACTAAATAGCATCGTTTGCAAACTTCAATTTTGTTTTGAGAAGGACCTGCAAATGTTTAAAACAACAAAAAATGATTAAATATTGCTTATAAACCATTAACAACTTTCAAAAATTTCATGATCACCGTTTTGACCTTAAGAAGAATACCCAGCAAAGGATCTGAATGCAATCCTATCTCTGGGAAGAGCCGGATTGTCGGATAAACTTTAGCGCTTGACATGTTTTTTCTTAGGTGAGAAAAACAAATGGGTCGTCCTGGGTTGTTTTCTTTGTCTATCTGCCAAAATACGGCTAACTGTTTTTAATATTCTTTTCGAACTTAACGTGCTTGACTGACTCAAAATTCAACAATTATGGTAATTGTTGAAATGATAATTAAAACAAGGTCTTTGTTTAATTGGATTCCTGGTGTCTAGAGGCGACCTCCACGAAACGGTTCAATTAGGATTTATCGATGTCGCTACTTAGGTGTGCTAGGTTGTTAAAAGGTGACATTGTGATTTGAAATAAAGGAAACACTTGAATTGCAAATTATCAATTTAGGCACAGGAGACGTGTACATGTTATGGTTTTGGCTCTTTAGGGAACTTGAAATGTATAAACGTTACATATATGAAAATCTTTTTTCGCTTGAACCTTCTTAGGCCGAAAAGGACAATTGTTGATAAGTAGCTTGTTTTATTTTGAATGAGCTTACACTTTACAATAATGTTTTTTCAACGGGAATTAGCTTTTTTCTTGACACGAAAACAATACAGCTGCTTGCAGGGGTGACTGACTCTCGGGTTAATCTTTCTGTTGCCGATCAGTAGGAGTTTACTTAAGTGTTGTTGGGAACACGAGAACATCCAGTTCAATGATTTAGTCAATTCTGCTTGCTGTAAGAAAGGAATATGGCTGTTGATAACGTACACTTGAAGAGCGCAGCGAAAAAATACGAATTCATGGCAGAGGAAACCAGCGGATCGCTGGGAGGCATAACGCCAATTCAACCAAAAAGTAGGAGAAAGGTCTGGTTAGCCTTGGCTTGCATTACCAGCGTCTTGGTGGTGTTTGGATTTGGTTTTCTAGTAGGATACCTCGCCAAACGACCGGAAAGTACGTCACCCAACAAGGAGACGGCGATATGTAATACACCACCTGCTTTCGAAAGTTTTCACAATATGTTTAAAGAGTCGATCAGTGCTGCAGAGTTGGAGAGTCTAATGAGGTATAGGCCAATGCAATTACTGTAAGCTGGAAGGTTAAGCAATTTGATTTGTAGGAATTAATATTTATAAGGGGAACTATTAATAATACTTTGTAGACTAAATGGGAGGTTACTAGCCGGCTAAGGTGTTTTTCCCAATTCATAAGATTCATGAACACATCGACTACGCAGCTCTCAATTTAATGCCTTTATAACCTCCTCATTTCTGTTTTTAGGAGACGTGTTGGCAATTCTAGTTTGCATTTTCCATTTATGTCATACAGGATATCATAGTTGTTCTAACGTAAAGGGTGCTTCTATATGAGCCACAGGGTCCAGAGGAGATGTGTTTGTCGTTAGAACAACAAAACCCGTCGAAAACCTCTGAAAAAATGGGTTATTTTGATCACGTTACAGTTTTGTTACACATTCTATTGACCGCAAACCAAGAGACTGAGGGCTCGCAAGATCGGCTTACAATATGGCTTGCGGTTATTGATTTTCAAAATGGCGAACGAGAAAGTCGATCTGGGTCAGATAAGAAGCGAAGAAATCGTTTACAGTAGATTCATTAAGATCTCATTAGGCTAATTAATCGTGCTAAGCGACAGGTATAGACATTTTTCAAGGTGAGACTTTAAATAAGTAATTCATTTATTCACACGAAACTCCTCTGGACCCTGTGTAAGGGGGGGGAAGGGGACTCCCATATGAAACAGACGGGGATGCTCGTCGGAAATTTTGAATTTAACCCCTAAAGGAGACCATCTGGGCGTGGCTTAAGCAAATTTTGACCCCTAAAAGAGACTAAAATGATAGTTACGGTATTTACGTTTTGTTGACTCAGAACGCAACGATGAGCACTACAATCTTTGACAAAACAGATGGAAAATTTAAATCCTCCACCTCTCCTCGGGGGGATGGGCCCTCGGGGAGATGGGGGTTAGATGTTCCATTTTGTTCTGTCCAAGATCGTAGTTTCAAGTTTTAAATGTTCACTTTATACATATATCGATATTCATGTCAAGACTTTGTTTTTCATAGGGAGTTCTCCAGTCGCCCTCACATTGCTGGCTCCGACAGACAGCAAGTTCTTGCAAATAAACTCGTCGCAAGCTGGAATACGTTTGGATTTGACAAAGTCGAGAAACCTGAGTACAAAGTTCTGCTATCTTTTCCCCAGCCAGAAAAACCAAACAGGGTGTCCTTAGTGGAAAATGGTTCAGTCATATACGAGACAGTAGGAAAAATTAAGGTAAAACCGAGAAGCCCTCTTTGTATTAAGCGAAAAAGAACCTGCATTTGGTGGACAATAAGCAGGAACCGGTGAGGGGCCTGTGGGTCGTCCAGCCATCCCCTCTCGCCCTGTTCCCTACATCCGCCTGGAACTTGCGCCCCAAGTTTCATGGCTATTTCTAGTATTCCGAAAATCGTCTTGAATGTCGCTCACCGGCAGAGCTACATCTACGAGAACTAGCTCTGAAGTCGTCATATGAAAATATCTGTGTGCTCGAAAGAAAGGAGAATCACCTACTATTAGGGGTTATGCTGATTAGAGCGATATTGCAGCGCTAGCTTCATTTGCGAAATTTCATCATTCTTCTAACTTAAAAGAGGGCAATCAGAGGAGAGCAATTCAAAAGTGGACTGAGTTCACTGACAGGCTGGAATAATTTGTGAACGAGTCTATTCGAAACCCGTGCACTGTGCCTAGGAGATCAGCGCTTGCCTCAGTTGCCGCGCTTTGTTTGGTCGAGGCATCTTTTGAAAAAAGATAAGGAAGTGGCAGAGCATTTGTCGCTTATTGCGAACTTAAAGCGCTGTTCTAACGAACTTATTTACACGCCTTGCGGCTTAGGGGTACGCTTTTGAAAGTTATAGCCACACACAAAAAGATAAAATTGTTAAGTGCTTGAACAAGTGGTCAAATTGGATTTAAAATATCTGTAATAATAGTTTTTCAATTAAGAAATTATGTACATCGCTTCTCTCCACTTCCATCTCTCTTTTTGGCAGAAGGAAGTTACTTAACAGTCGTCGGAAACACGTAAAATTCGTGAAAGTGAAATATGTCTTCTTTCGCGGGATAGAAGTTACGTTCATTTCCGATACACAGATAACTTGAGTTTAACAATTATTCCATAATTTGCAGATTTCGCCAGCACCAAACAGTTCTGAGACATTTGATCATTATCCTTATTTGGCATATGCGCACAATGGCACAGTGGAAGCTGATCTGATTTACGCCAACTATGGCCGAGATGAAGACTTAAAAGAGCTTTCTAAAATGAATATCAGTGTGGAAGGAAGAATTGTTATTTTAAGATCACGAAACGTAAGTACCCTCTGGTAACTACTGCGATGATTCCAGTATACTAAACGAAAATCTGTACTGGCACGGGTGTTCTGGTCATAAATTTTGTTATAATTATGAGCGATTACTGGCAACATTAAGACGTAGATTTCAAGTGAATGGAAGGAAAAAGAGAGAGAAAGAGAAAGAAAATTGTTTATACGTTTCTTCCCAGACACAGTGACTCAAATCGTTCATGTGGGGGACAACAACGCACTTATAAAGTTCTTGTCAGTTAAACAGTAACACAACAGTAGTTTTACACAGTTGCCAACAGCCTTTGGATTTTTTTAACTGTCGTGTTCAATGTAACCAAGACATCTTGCCTCAGAGGAGGCAAGGATCAAGGGTTATCGAGATCTTTACACATCATTGATTCCAGGTTGCCAATGCTGAAAAACACGGAGCAGTTGGGGCGCTGGTTTACGCAGACCCGAGTTTCTCGGCTCAGCAGGGATACGAAGCTAGTCAAGTCTATCCCAAGGGGTGGTGGCTACCTCCCAGCGGGATACAAGAAGGATCTATATTATTTTCCTCCTATGTTGGGGATCCCTTGACCCCCGTCCTGCCATCCACTAAAGGAATGTACCGTAGGCGCGAGAATGAAAGTATGCTGCCTAAGATTCCAGCACAGCCGATATCTTACGAGGCTGCCATGGAACTCTTGCAACGTCTAGGAGGTATATTACGCTATCACTGTTATTTTACTTTTAGTTTCCTTTTTTATCAAATCATCGTTCTTCGTAGTATTTAGTCTCCCACGCAGACGTTCTTAGGGCTTGGTCACTCGTTGTGAGGAAGGATCGCGTGACAAAGCGCCAAAAACGTCTGTAAGGAAGGCTCCGTAGTATTACTTTCTTCAGTATAGTCTGCGAGTAAGCTCTCCATACCCGATGGTGGAAATGACATGAAATGAAAGACTCGTTCTGTTTACCACCCTTTATGTCGTTCTTAAAGTTTTTTTGTTACAAATCGCCAGGGCCAGAAGCTCCTAAGAAATGGCAAGGTGGATTGAACATCACATACCACACTGGTCCAGGATTTCAGAATAGCAGTGCCAAGGTTAAACTAGAAATCAATAACAAGCTTGATGAAAAGCCCATTTACAACGTTATCGGTACCATTTATGGGCAAGACGAGCCTGATCGATACGTAATCATCGGCAACCATCGGGACTCGTGGTCCTTCGGTGCGGTCGATGCGCTAAGTGGAACAACAGTAACGAACGAAATTGCCCGTGTTCTTGGCATGCTCTTGAGGAAGGGATGGAGACCACGAAGAACGATTAAGATCTGCAGCTGGGGTGGAGAGGAGTTCAACTTGATCGGGTCACATGAATGGGTGGAAGAAAACGCGAACATTTTAACCGAGCGCGCTGTGGCATACATCAACTTAGACATCGCGGTGTGCGGCAATTACGTGCTGAGAGCTAGGGCGAGTCCTCTTTTTAAGCAAATAACGCACAAATGGGCGAAAGAAGTTAAGGATCCAAATAATACGGAGGGAAGCGACACAATGTACGACATCTGGCTGCGAAGGACTCCTTCCGATACTAACAAAAACGAGCCAATGATTTTAAATCTGTTCTCTTCAAGTGATTATGTGTCATTTTATCAGTACTTAGGGGTACCCTGTGGAGACTTTGGTTACTGGTTTGGGTACGATAAAACGTCTTCTTTGTACCCTGTTTATCACACCCAACAAGATACATTTTACTGGGTAAAACAGTTCATCGACCAGAAATTTGAAGTGCACAAAGCCATGACACAGTTTAGCGGTGGTATAATTCTGGACATTGCAGATCAGCCACTTATACCATTCGATATTTGGAACTACGCACTCGCCCTGAACAATTCCTTTCACATCCTGGCGTCATCTCCAAAGTTTTCAGCCAATGGCATACCTTTAACCGACCTTCATAACGCTATAGCTAAATTTTTAAAAGCCAGCAGAATGTTCGAGTCCATTAAGTCAGATCCAGCAATACTAAAAAGCCCTTCAAAGTTGCGCATGATCAACGATCAAACAGTGAAGGTAGAAATGGCGTTTATCTACCCTTACGGGCTCCCGGGAAGTCGTCAGAGCCGTCACGTGGCATTCAACTTTGGCTTCCACAACCTTCAATTTGGGAAGGCAACATTTCCGGGAGTCACTGAGGCGTTACATATGGCTGATATGTCAGGAGATTGGGATTTAGTAAGAAAACAATTATCAATAGCAATTTACTGCGTAGAAAGGGCAACTCGAGTGCTGGAACCCCTAAGGCCCTAATATAGCCAACTCTCTCTGATACGAACATATTTGGGACCGGCACTAAGGGTCTTTTGCAGACAGGTGTCTGCGTTATAGAGAGTTAAAGAAAAGAACTGTAAGAAAGGCAGGGTCGACGATCTTCAGGTGTCCGCTTTAGGGAGAGGTCCACTTATAGAGATGTCGTTAAGAACGGGTTGACTGTATTAAGTTGCATATTCTTCTTACCGTGATCATCATATATATTATTCTTATGGTCTTTATCCTTGATTAGCCAGTGATATTGTAAGATGCTGTATAACAGGGGATTAAGGTTACCGTGCACAAAAGGAAACTAAACGGACTAGCAAAAACTAGCAGATGGTTCCCTTTTCCTAATATACATTTTTAATTTTCTATTAAAATAAGTCGGTTATGAGTTGGTTAGGATACGAAACAGTGTATTGTCCCTTAATCATTTTAATGAAATTAAAAAAAAAAGCAGAGAGAGAGAGAGAAAGAGAGAGACAACGGAATATTACTAATTCGAGAAAGGGGAAAGAGCTCCGGAGACGAGAGTAACGAAAATTTTGAAAAACAAACAAACAAACAAATTAAAACAAATAAACAAAAAACAGTTTTTTCATGAAGGATATAGGGTTAGGGTTTAAGTTAGGATTTGTCCCCACTTTTTATCTTCCAGTTTCCGGTGTTTGTTCTCCGTTCCCCGTTCCTCGTTTTAGTAACGTCCATACACTGGCCACAAGATTCGGATTTCCGGTTTTTCGTAAGCTGACATCGCATGCATGCGACAAACTTGTGCCTTTTACGTTGGCCTTTGCTAACACTACTCGAGTCACGCTAAGCATACTAATTTGATTTGACACCATCCATTTTTACAATGAAGCTTCCTCTCTTGAAAATCCCATTTGGCGTGGCAGTACGTCAGGATTATCGCGCGGGCGAGGCTAGGCTTGTAAGCTCTCTCGAGTCCTGCAAGGCCTCAACTCGACAGACTGAAACAACATCTTGCAGTCTACTGTAAGTGATCATTCTCACTCTCTCTAACTTTTCTTTGGCCCCACCTAATCCCCTGTTAGGAACTCACTGATCTCAACGAACAAAATAATCATAGCTTTCTTCTTTACTAGCATTTATTCATTAGTAACATTTAGTAACATTGCAAAGTGTCCGCAATTAGCTTTTATAAGCTAAAGACATCGACACTTAAATAAAGTTGTTATGTTATGTTATGAAGGCGAAAATTGTAATTGTTAAGTGAAAGACACGTGCAAAATTACAACATGCTTATTTTTTCTTATCAACTTTTATTAATTAATGCAAAAACATTTTTTAAAGTTACTAGCTAGATATGTGATTTCCATATGCGGATTTTTATAGAAGGTACTAATCGAGCCATTATTTAGGCGGAGTACAGCCCATCTAAATTTCCCGCCTGCCTATTTGATTTCCCTCATTGAGTTGGGTTTGTAGCTTAGATATTTTACTCTCAATATACTTCAGTTTGAATTGGTAATTTACTTTCTCCACAAGGGAAAACAATATCGAGGATTACTCCAACATCTGGGGTTAAATTTTCTAAAATATGAAAAAAAAAAAAAAAAAACCTCTTTTTTTGTTCATCAACAAAAATGTAGAAAGAAAAAAAATAAATATTAGAGAAAGAAAGAAAAAAAAAAAAGAATTTTTTTCTTGTTGGTAGGATGATTAAAGGGACGTAATTTTTAAAGGACAAAGAAAAAAAAAAAAAAAAACAAAAAAAAAAATATTGGGTTTTTTTAGAAATGATCCATCGAACCCTTTTTTAGGGGGAAGACAGCTCATTTAAATTTTCCCCCCTCCTTTTTTATTTCCCCCAATTAGTTGGGGTTTGAGGTTAAAATTTTTTCTCCCAAAAAAATTCTAATTTAAATGGTAATTTACCTTCTCCACCAAGGAAAAAAAAAACCAGGATTAATCCAAAAATTTGGGTTTAATTTTTCAAAAAAAAAAAAAAAAAAAAAAAAAAAACCTCTTTTATTGACCATCAACAAAAATGTAGACAGATAAGAACTAAATTTTATGGATTGATTGTGAAGAAGATATGATTTTTTTTCTTGTGGGTCGCTGGATTGAAGGCACTCACTATTGAAAAGTCAAAGGAAAGAAAGGGAACAAATCTTAAACAATAAATAATAGGATTTGTCGAGTTGAAAGCGTTGGTGGTAAACAATGTCAGAACAGTTCAAGAAAATCAACTGTAGAACAGATGATGCTTTTGAAACTAAACACGACCCCATTTTTGCGCGAAAGGTGTCAGGGCCGATATTAAAATAATGTCCTAATCATTTCGAGGTGACAGAAATATTTTCATCGTTAACTGTCTATTTGCTGCTCACAGAAATTCGTTGTCAATTTGGCCAGCGAGTAAGGGTGCATTCGCCGCCAAAAGCACCAAGAAATAACATTATGTGCAATCATCATGATTTCTTTATAATTCTGACCTATTTGCTTATTTGTGAGGTCTCCTGCGACTTCGCGAATAATCAAAGGCTGCTTGAAGAGTATGAAAGTAAGTTATGTCATTTCTTGTAGTTTGTTTGTTTTATTTGAATGAATGCTTCATGTTTCTTTTTATGTTTGATTTGCTACATAACCAAATCGTCGTTCAGTCAGGCAATGAATCAATCAGCAATGAGCTTGTCTATGTTACTTAGGATGCTATCTAATTTTCTTAAATTTCAAGGCCAAAGGGAAGATTAGCGACATAGTCGAAGGGGCTTTAAGCAAGGCAGATAACAACGCATGGTTCATTTGTGGTTTATGCTTTTATTCGTAAGCAAAACCACACAAGTTAAAACTTCCTAAAATATAATTCGTCGGTTGTTAACAAGGGGAAATGTGGGGCTTAAACGATTATTGATGAAGAAATGTTCGAGAAGTTATTTTAGACGGTTCACTAAAAAGATAGGCACATCATTAACCCCTGTCTTTGTTAACTATTCCCTTTAAAATAGGAGCCACAAAGTTCGACTTACATAAGGAAATCATGATCAACCAAAACTCTTCGCAGTCTACTTTTCCTCCCATTTACTTATATTACATAGTTTCTGCTCACTAATAAATATAGATGTAGATATTACTAACTAAAGACAATTCCTTGGATTGAATCCTTTGACTGTACATAACCCTTGTATTGGCAATTTAAATCAGCACTGACCATAATGTAGGTCTCACTTGGCTCCACTAAACAGCATAATCTTGCATATATTTGCTAAAGTTTACACTTAAAATATTATATCAATTGAAAAGCAATTTTATTTATTTGGTTCTCAAACGTAATTACTCACATGTAGAAAGAATGTTTCATTACGATTTGGTGTTATCATGTTCTGCAGATGTGCGACCTTTAACCGATTTCAAAAGATATAGACTCTTATCTTCTAATAGCAATTTAGCACCACATGATCGCCTCACACACACACATGATACCTGCCAACATTTCTTGAATTTTCATTCTGTCATGACCAGAATTTCCGGAAACGTCCAAGCAACTTCCGAATATTTCCGACGATTTTCCGAAGACTTCCGAACGTCGCCAAAAATGTTCGAAGTTGTTTCGACGACCTTTGAGCAGTTCCGAAGCTATTTCAAACGCGACAATTTTAGCGTGTTGTGATATAGTTAGGACACAAAGTAAACATTAAGCGTCTTTTTGGAACATTTTTGGGGAAACTGAATTGCATTTCTTTCATTAATCATTTGTTAAAGAATCGTCCGGATTTGTGAGTCAGGTGTGAGAAATTGGTTTTTTGCGTGAGATCGGTGTCTTTGGTCTGCAGGCGTAAGACTCACGCATATTGCGTGAGAGTTGGCAGTATACGACACACATTTCCCAAGAAACCTGAATTTTATTGTAGTGCATAATGCAAATTTATTCTGGATTGCGATTTTCGCTTATCCTCTAAAAAAAAAAGAAGAAAAAATGCTGACGTTTGGAGTCACGATATTTGGTGAAAGAAATAACTTGCGATGGGCAGGTAGGATAGTTCAGTAAGATTGCTATCTGCAGATTTAATGAAAAATTCGGCATATTTCCCTTAGATGAAAACCTTGTGCACTTATAAGCGTTCTCATTCCCCGGGAATTTGTGAGCTACTTGTAACAAAACCGTATTGACCAAAATCGAAATCTCTCACGTTAGGCTGAACAAGTGAAAATGCCCCACCTTGGAGAACTAGTAGACCAAAGTGCACGTGAAACTTTCTTGAAACGGACGTGACACTCAAATCTGGGCAGGGAAAAGTGTTAATTTCGCAGAATCGACTGTAAGAGCAAACGACCTTTTTTTAATTAGCCACTTCAAGCTCCCCTTTGGTTCTCATAGGCTCCACCGAGAGGAAGGTAATACAAACACACTATACGTATTTTTATTTCTTTGTCAAAGAACTTCAACAAGTTCCACCAGCAAGAGTCTCGAGCAACAAATTCCAGAAGCACTTTACAAGCACTAGTGACTCATCCCGTCTAAAGAGAGAGCTAGAGGGTGACTATGACATCATTTACATCATCGATTCTTCCAGCTCGATTACTCGCGCTGAGTTTCGCAAAGGTATCGAAGCTATTCAAATGCTGATCGACAGAGGTGTCCCGGAAACTAAACACGCTGCTATGACCGTAGCCAGTGAGGCAAAGTTGATTTTTAGCTTTACTTCCGCAGAAAACGCCGCACAAGAACTGACCAAACTCCAAAAAACTGGAGGGAAAACAAACATGCAAGAGGCCCTGGAGAAGAGCTTAAACGTCTTTCGGAATCCCTGGTTCGGCAGTCGCGTTGGAACCTTTAAGCGCGTTTTGGTTGTCACCGACGGACAGTCGAACATAAAACGGAATCAAACGCTTTTGAATGCCATGGAGCTTAAACTTTACGGAGCTGAGATATTCGTGGTTGGAGTAGGAGATTATTTGGATGGAATTGACGAGTTGGCTCATATGGCCAGCTCCTTAGATGCGCATCTCTATAGAGCTGGTGACATGCAAGGGTTTATTGAGATCGTAAAGCTGATTACGCCTGTTAGTTACAGACGTGATTGGGCAGCTGAAATGAGAAGGCTGAGAAAAGCGTTCATTGTGGGAAGACAATGAATCGACAAACAATTGTCAACTTTATCAACCGATTGACTTCAATTATTTTTTGTTTACTACAAGCTTCCGCCATATATTAACTCACTCTGAAAACTCTGGCCTTTGGTCATGGGTATCTGTCAGAGGGTGCACTGAACTGTCTTTGTCCACTCGTGAATTCCAGGATCCCATGAACTGAAAAATAGAGAGCTGTCGTATGTAGAGAGAATGGGAAAGACGCCTGTAAGCATGTCTTCCCTGGGTATTTTTGACCTTTTGCTATTTGTACTCTCGTATTCACTTACGGGTCAAAAAAAAAAAACAATAAACAACAACAACAACAACAACAACTTTATTGGGACATTTTATGCTGTAGATTAACTCTTGAGACCTGCGGGTAACGTGAGCGCTAGTCGAAGTGGCCCAAGACAAGAAATTATTTGAACAAGTATAAACTGATATAAACCGGCAAACCTAGAAGCAATCTAGATTGCATTGTCAAATTCAAAGTATGTATAAAATAGGTTGCAATATTTTTTTTTTAAAATATTGCTAGTACTGCTTTCCTCTGTCAAGGATTACTTCCGTACGTTGTTATCCTTATACTATTGGTGCGTGGGGCTTGGAAGAAGATAAAGATGTCTCAATGAATTGTGCAGAGATTACAGAACAGGCGCCGCATCCCTCGATTCCCCGGTCCGTGCGATTGACCTGCACCTATCCAAACCTCTTATTTCATTGGTCCCTATAACCTGCACTACCCATTCTTTTCATAGGGCCATTGTTATGTCACCGTCCCTATTGCTTTCCCAGCCAATCACAAACCTTGTTTGGAATAGGTGCAGGTCGGCCGTCCGTGCACCCATGGCCTGCAGGACGCATGACCAATAACAAGGAAAATATGGTCTGCGAGTTCACTTCGTTTCAGACTGATTACTTATAAACGGTTTAAAATGACCACCAATAAAGTATTTTATATTTTAGTTGATAAAAATCATAAAGAAACTGAGTACTGCTGTACATTCTGAAACATTCATTTCTGGGTTCAAACGTGAAACAAACGAGAGAGTGAAACAACACAACTCAGCCGATTACGCAACACACTGGAAATGACTCGTGAGGTACCCTTCCGGTATCTACCAGTTAAAAATCAGTTGAACGGTGAATCGAAGTGCAGCACCTAATTGAAGTTCGAAGTTCGAATCAATTGGTTTATAACAATGAAATGTATTTGTAATAATTTTAATTCATACAAATACAGTAAAGAACTAGTGAAGTCATATGTGACTTGCAACTTAAAGTCTTCCCAGAGGATTCCAATTATCTTCTGTCCTACCGAAAATGTCATCAATCCAAGGCCTTTGTCCTCTTTCAGGAATAAGCTTGACTATCTCTGCCAGTCCTCTCATGTTCATCACTCGGTACATGTGAGCGCCGGTTGAGCTCGCCATTTGAACCATTTCTTGTATCCCGTCCAAATACTCGCCCACAGCAATCACAAACACATCAACTCCCTGCAGCTTTAGTTGAACAGCACTAGGGACAGTTTCTGCACGCTTAATATTGGACTGACCATCTGTCACAACAAGAATTCTCCTAAAACTTCCCTTGCGAGCGCCATATTCATCTCCAGCGAACATCTTTTGACAAAGTTTGAGGGCCTCCTGGGTATTTGTCTTTCCGCCAGAGCGCTTGATGCTGCTAAATTTTTCTATCGCTTCGTCGCTTAAAGAGAAGTTGAACTGAACTTGGGCGTGGCTCGCGTAGGTGATTGCTGCGTAGTTTGTGTCGTTGCGGGATTTTTCAACGAGTTGTTGCAAAGCTGCTAATCCTTTGGCAAATTCTCCACTGCTAACGGAACTCGAAGAATCAATCACCATAATCGCATCAAAGAAGTTTCGAAGAACCTGCCTTTTGTGAATTCTTCTTGTGTCGCCACCGAGAAAGTACTTGTACAGCTTTCTGGCTGTTTCCATGGCAGGAGGAACCCTCTGAAACCCTGTTCGAGTAAAGGGGTAGGAAAACAAAGTCGAAAGTTGTCGAAAGACAATGGAGAATTATCTTACAAAAATTGTCGAGATGCGAAAAATATCATTAGCGTGAGACAAGACTATTGGTAACATTCACGGGCAGTGTGCGGGAGTCTTCATTCAAAGTGAGTTGTGTATCACCAGTTGATGGTATTTGACTCGATTATTTAATGTCAATATGGTCGTCTGCTAGTTTTTAGTGATAGTGGCTGCACAGCCTATATTTAAGCCACTTGCGCTTGTCCTACGTAACCTTGGGGCTCGTCACCAAAGATATTCACTTGGCCCATTCATATCAGTACAGCAAGGGATGCGCGAGGGTGGGTCAACCTCTGCAACAAGCGCAACCCTATTAACAGGGACTATCTTGTCAAAACATGGGCAACGGCTTGCTATTCTAAGTATCAGGTCTTACTTGGCAGTAGCCTGTGGCGCGCGTCTTATTTTCGCTTTGCTCGTTTAATACGTCCCCACTTTACTATCTGAGAGCCTGGCACAGGCTAACTTGGCAGTTATGGGCGAAGCGATTTCAGAGAGGGGAGAGGAGAGGAGGAAGAAGAGGGGAAGGGGAGAGGAAAGTAAGTTTCTCCCTTTCCTGTCTCCCCTTTTCGCTTCTCTTTTCTTCTTTTCCCCAGAAACGCCTGATACTTAGGCTAACGTCCTTCCGCCTGCCTAGGCCACCTTCACTCCGTTCCGATCCACTTTTTTACACAACAAGCCGGACGAAAACGTAGCGAAACGCAAACGAATGATAAATGGGGGATGGGGGGGAGGGGGTGGGGAGAGAGGGGTTTATAGAGTGTTGTTTCTCGAAGATATATGTCTATGTGACGCTGTTAACCAATTCCAAGTGTAGAGGTAGCGAAGAGGGAAAAAACTGAGTTTTGAATAAAGCCCCAACGTAAGGGCAGACGGGAAATCCCTCTGTGCCTATCACGCTTTGCTTTTAAATTCTCGCTTGTAATCTGCTGTCAAAATCATGTCAGCGACAAGACTTGGGCATCGAAGACAAATAAATGAATAACTACCATGGCCTGTACTATACTCAGTATACCGGTACTTCAGGTTCCGGTTGCGGAAAGGCCGATTAGTGCTAATCCAGTATTTGAATTTTAATCCTCGATTGTAGTTACCTTGCTGCACATTGATTAACAGGATCGTTTTCGTGCTTTGACAGTTACACAACTGGATCTCGGAGTGAAGGCTCGAAAATATCTTGCAAGCTCCCAGCTGGCTCAGCCTTAGGTTAAACTTAACTATCTTTCAAGGAAACGGAGGAACCGGGCCCTGAATATTTACAGCTGTTTATAAGCAGGAACTTCTGTTGTTGTGGTGCAGAGTTGTTTTGTTCAAGTTGACCTTGCGGTCATATTTGAACACCACCTTCTTCACGTTCCACTTATCCTCCCTCAAAAGATAGCGGTAAGTGTACTTACCCTCGTAGTAATCAACGTTTTTTACATTCTCATCTCCAAATGATCCTTTCCCTGATGCCAAAACTACGAAAATGACGAGGGAAATTGTAAACAGTTTCAACGCCATCGTGTTCACTTTTAACTTTGTTGCTGCTGATGTCTCTTCGCTGCGCTACTACGCTGGGTCATTTGATATCTGTCCACTTAAATTACAGCCCAGCGTGGTTCAATTAATAAATAACATCCATGAATAATAGACGAGTAACGAAAAACTGAATGGAAAATAGATCAAAAATTTTGCACTTGGCTTTTTTTTTGTGGTCTTGTGGACGGGTCCGATCCCCAAATGACGTAATACAAAAGATCGAAAAGAGACCCACCGTAATAGCTAACCGACAATATTGGTTTCTTCAACAAGAAACGTCCACTTTGGTGGGTGTTGGAAAGAGCATTGGAGCAAGGCACTTCCATTCCCTCGGTGGCAATGACATAGCGATCACTTAAGTCATGCATAGAACACTCTCGCAGAGACCTCCTCTTTGTACCACTTGTAGGCTTGGGCCGGACGATGAATAAGTTTTAGTGTACTGCAGTGCAGTGATGTCTGGAATACGTGGCTATTCTTTTCAGCAGCGCTTGTCTCTACGCACCTAGCCTGCCTAACAGGCGTTATTTTTCGCGTTTTCAAAGCTGACGCCTGAAGCTAGCGAAGGCAAGCACGAAGCGAGTGAGGAGCACTATACACGCGCGACGGGGAAGGCGCAAAAAACATAAATCCACCTTTCGCGCGTGTCTCGTGCTCCACGCCCGCCTCAAGCTTGCCTACGCGCGCCTAGCCTGTTCCAGGTTCTCGCGATCGCGAGATATGGGACGTAACAATAACTGAGACTTTCGCCTGGGCTAAGGTACCAGTCTGTTCAGAAGTTGTACTGTAAGCGTCATTCGACTCACGTTTGCTTTTCGTACTCGCACTTCCTTTAATCAGCCTTATCGAAAAATGTCAATTCTCCTTTGTCGTCCTTGAACATTTCCTATCGAAGAAGTGGGAAGAAGTTGTTTAAGTATCAGTTTAATTCATTTTGTGTGATAACATCCTTAATTTTCTTGACCACTCTTAGAAGGCATAGAAATTACAAGGAGAAATTTGACCCTCATCACTCTAATGGCCTGTATCGACGAAAAGATGGCCATTTTTTAGCATGTTCATTGTGTCGCGTTCGCCTTATTGTATTCCACTAAAAGAGAACACAAGGAGTTTAAGCTTTAGAATTGTATCTAGAATTTGAGGGCAGCCGTCGTCCTATCGATATCGAATGATCTATGTAGCCTACCTGGCAGCCGCAGGAGATAGGGAGTTCAAGCAAAGACGTTTCATGTTAAGTGCGAACTTCAAACGGTATAGCGGGGAACGCCGTATTGCATTCTTGGGCGATGGTTTTGGTCAAATTTTCAATCGTCTCTATAAAAGACACTTAGCAATACAAATTTAGTAGAGTCAAGGCACACTAATTGCGAAAAGGCCTTAGTCCGGTTGACATGCGTCCCTCAAAAAAGCCTTTCTTAACCTCCCTAATATGGGGCGCGCGCGACTAAGTGATGCGCACAAAAGAGAATAAAGGTAGTGTTTTCTCTCTCTCGCGAGTCCTCATCCCTCGCGGAGATTGCGGAAGTTTTTATTTGCTCCCTCGCCAACAGTTCCAAGGTCCAGTATTCGCGCCTTATAAATTTCTCAAGCTCAAGCCACGCGGGCAATCCAGGATCTAACTTGGGAAAACCCGAGACAATCAGTGAATTAGCAAAAAATAATTCTAGTTTTACTATTCCAGGCAAGCTACACATTAAGTGTTTGGCGTAACTAGTGTAACTCGTGTAAATGAAGTCAGATGTATTCTAACAATAAAGCCGTTACACTGCGTTTTATTTAACTATTCGACTATCAAAATGGTATAAAACACCTTCAAAATATAGAGTACAAAAGTTTACTTACAGGCGACCGAGATGTTAACCGATACGTTGGTCGACACTCCGATCCCTTAAGACACAACATCCTAGTTTCTCAGGTAATAGGCTAGCCAGAATTGCCCACCCTTAAAAAAACATGAAAAAGGTCAAAAAGCCCTTTCTCTGAAAACAATCTATGTTTCAGTAATGCAGGTTGAAACAGGGTTGACAGAAGCCAGGTCCCCAGGCGTCCTTAACTTGGTCAAACCCGGACCCTACTAGGAGAGTTCACGTCACCGATCGAGAACGGCTCACCCACCCTTTCCCAAAATTTGCCTAGACAACGGGGCAAGAGAGAACGCCACGAGACTGGGCTATTCGTCCTGAGCATGCAGTATGCAGTCAGTGTGTTTTAAGTTTCCTGTCAGAAATTCTGTTAAGTGAGACTATCCTTGGTTCAGCCTTGCTATCTGTGAAGAAGCTTAAATTAATATTTTCGCTGTTGAATTTTTACATCTACAAATCTTAACAGTGCCGTACTTGTTGTCCCTATTTTAATTCCTGTTATTTGCGAATGTTCATAACTACAAAAATTCTTAGACCTTCTTAAATAGTAAACTTACACAGTATGTCCTTATTAAAAGCGACATTATTTTAAAAATTCGTGCGTGCAATCAGTCATTCTGATTAATGGGGTGGTTCAAAATACGTACGCGTTCAGTCTAAAAACCACGCAGCCACGACGGCGACGGCAACGAGAACGTCAAAAAAGCAATAAGCGAAAAATAATTTTTTTTCTGGTCACTGTGGAAATTTCACGTTTTTTTTCTTTTTCTCGACTTGGGTACAGTACTTAAGAATTCAACCCCAGAATATTTTGCAACCACTTCACAAATGGACAAGGCGGAACAATAGAGACTAAGTTTCAAACAGCACGAATTCACTTTTTATGTGACGAAATTGTTCGCTACCGTCGTGGTTGCTTGGTTCGATCTATGCCGATGACCTTTTCAAGATACAAGTAGTGACGAGGTCACGGTGAGAGAAATGTTATCCGCTCCAGACAAATTAAAAGTAGTTGTAGCATCTGTCATGTGACCATGCTTAGAGTTTGAGTTGGAATTCTTGTTCTTATAGAAAATACTTATGACTTAAAAATATACCTTGGGATATAGGCTCATCCCTTTTTGTTTTAAACGTCTAATCCTACCTGCTCAAACGCAATGTAGATTAAACAGTTATACTGATAAATTAGGGATAAATGGGCTTACACAAATGCCGAAAGCACACTGTGCGTTAGCTGACTTCTATAACAAAAAACGAATTAAACTACAAGGAAATGTACTGCATCCTTTGTAAAAAAGACATTACAAAATTTCAAAGATCACAGGCTATTAAGCCAACACGTTCTAACGACTCGGCACTCATGCCACCTACACTACCACAGAGCAGTAAATGGCTGAAAGTTTCCTTTTTAGAAAGGCAATGGCTGGTAAGGAAAGTTGATAGCCTATACTTTAGTGAAGACGGTAATTGAATAGAGTAACCTTCCCGTTCTTTCCTGCAAGCTTGTGGAGATCACCAGTTAGCCTACGTAGCTAGGTGCATTAATCACGCGAGACTACTTTATCCCATGGGTACTTTTCTCGTTTTTGTTTAAGCAGTGAAGAGGCGTGAGGAATGGGGATAAGACAATGGCTCTGCCGCCAAAAAGCCTTAAGTTACGGTAGTCTGATCCCGCCAGCTACGTAGGCTAAACGCTGATAGGCATCAAGGACTAAGACATTAATATGATAGAGATTGCACAAAGGAGCGTATGAGGTATTACAACGCATTGGTACATATACACAATCTTTACCGCAACAGTTATTCCAAAAATTTGAAGACAAGAACAAACCAACAAAACAATCAAATAATAGAGAAAACTACCCAAGTCACGTGCACGCATTCAACTTTGTAGTAGCCGGAAAGCTACTCTATTACAGCTTCAACATCGAAATCGAAGGCTAAAGAAAGGGGCCACTTCGTCCATTCACATCCTGACTTGGTCGGTATTTGTAAGTGGGCGGTCTTTTCCACAGTTCAATCTGTTCCTTAATCTGATTTATGAACAAATGAGTCATGACAATTCCAGCAACCTGTGCATGAGGAGTAGAAGAAAAGGGTTGATTATCAAAATAATAACTGTAGGGCCTACGCTATTTTCATGAGACGAACCAAACTCTAACTTGATGTCGAACTTAGGACGCGTCGAACCAATCAACTGAATCAGACAAAAAAGCAATTTTAAGTAAATTGTCTCGCGAACGTACCCAAATATACATTATCATACAAATCTTTAATCTATTAGTTTAGTTCACCGCAAGTGAAGATCGACGTTTTCTATGGAGACGATCTTCAGACGTTCTATCCGTCTGAACTTAACGGAGCCAGACGTCGAACTTTTCATGAACTTAACTCAATAGGTTTGGTTCGTCTTATGAAAAGTTCGACATTTGGTCTAGGCCTAAAATACTTCAAAATATAGACTGCTAGCAGTCCCTTTTCAGTCTGTCGAGTCGAAGCTTTCCAGGACTCAGACAACAGTGAACTAGTTAGCTCGCACTAAACCTTCTGCGCCTGCCTGTGCAACAATACTGAATACTTCCCTTGATGATAGCACGACTAGCTGTTGAGATAACAGTGGGAGGTGAACGGGGGAGGTGTGATCATCACAGCGGGATTTTGCTCTTCGGAATGTTTCTTGCTTTAAGGGGGAGGGGTTATGGTGAGATCATCGCAAGGATGGGGGAGAGGGGAGGGGTTTAATAGGGTATGATCACCGCAGAGGTAACACGCCGGATTTTTCTGGCCCCGAGAGGGGAGGGGGTGGAGGTTAGGGTGTGACCATCGCAGTGGGATTTTACAACGGAAGACAAATGAACCTGTTCTACAGACCAAAAATGAGCTTTCCTACTCTATTTTAGACCAGAACTGATGTTGTCGTTCTCGTCTGAAATGACTTACCTCGGGGAAGGCAAAAGCTACAGCAACTGCGGCCACAACGATAAGATGGTTTCTGAACCAGTCCCAAACAGCATCCAGGCAGCCAGTAATGTAGATCCTACCCTTTAGTGCCAGCCGCTATAGAAAAAAAAAGAAAACAAAAACACTGTTAAAAAATGTTTGCTGAAAAAGTACGGGTTGATTGAGATGAATGATGTTGGCACAGTCAGACCCCGTTAATACGGATACTGAGGGGGCCATAGAAAGTGTCTGTATTAACGGGGTGCCCGTTTTAGTTGTCCAAATTTTAGAGAAAATGTAAGGGCTTTCTTTTCTCAGGGACAAAGCAAACTGTCTGCAATCCGTAATCCGGGGCTTTGTTGACTATTTTGGATGAGAGGTCACTAACTTGTCCAATAGGTATTAGTAAAATCCAACTTGTGGTCTATTATCAATTCTGCGTTCTGATTGGTTGAGCTACTACTAGGCTATATGTTATAGCCCACTTGTAACAAAAAGGGCCGTAGTGTAGCTTTAGCTAGCTAAAGTTGTTTTGTCTCGATATTTTTGACCAACTAGTTGGATTTTACTAAAACAATTATTCCTCTCGCCCTCAGCCATGGCCTCTGAGTCAATAGCTATTGACTCAGAGCCCATTCGGACTTGAGGAATAATTGTTAATTAGTAAAATCCAACTAGTGGTCTATTATCAATGCTGTATTCTGATTGGTTGAGCTACTACTAGGCTAAATGTTATAGCCCACTAGTAGTGAAAAGCGCCGGCAAATTGGTGGGCAAAAAAGATTAAAGTGTAGCTTTAGCTAGCTGAAGTTGTTTTGTCGCGATATTTTTGACCAACTAGTTGGATTTTACTTAAACAATTATTCCTCTCGCCCTCATGGCCTCTGAGTCAATAGCTATTGACTCAGAGCCCATTCGGGCTCGAGGAATAATTGTTAAATAGCATGTTGAGGTTTAACAGCATAACCTGGTTGATTATGACATGCACTGCTGTACTGCATTCATACAAGCCTTGGAATAGAGGGTTCTGTAGCAAGCTGCTTGTAAGATGTCTTGTCATTATCGCCATTAATGTATGGTTATGGTAGCAAACCAGTTGGTTTTTAGGGTTAGGAGAGCTGCTACTGGGAGTAGACCCTTCTGCGGTTTCTTCAACGTTTGACTGCGACAAGTTAGTGAAAATCAATCAACACTGAC